TGGTTTGTGTGCCACACCTATCCCGAAGGTTTTCAGCAGTCTCGTTGCGGTTTCTGATATTCCTTGTATGTACGGTAGGGTGATCCTTTTGTTGACTTTCGTGCTTGATTTGGGTTCTGATGCTGTGTGCCGTTGGTGCTTTTTGATGAAGTTGATTGGGTAGCCGTTCTTTTGAAATATGTCCTTCAGGTATTTCTCTTCATTTTTTCGTGCTGCCAGTGTGCTGCAGTGTGTCCTCGCCCTCTTGAACAATGTGTGTACGCAGTTGATTTTGTGAGCTCTTGGGTTGTTGCTGTTGTAATTGAGGATTTGATCTGTATGGGTCGGTTTCCTATATACTTGAGTTTCCAGTTTTCCTGTATCGGTTCTAGTGATCAATATATCCAAGAATGCTAGTTGGTTGTTTGACTCCTGTTCCATTGTAAACTTGATGTCGTTGGATGAATACTATCAGTAGCACTGAACGTATGTGGTTTGATATGTTGAATTATTAGTAAGATACTTCCCTTCTCAATAAGTGCAACAATCCATTAACCAACTGCCTTCTCCACGATTAATTGTTGGACTTTCGCTTCCGTCGGGAGAAAACACTTCTAAAATATTCTGATAAAGCTTCAGGTTTTGCAACATCATTTCTTGTCAATACCAACTAACTTGTTGTAAGAAAGTTGGCGGAATTCCATCTCTTCCCAGTTCACCTCTTCATATATGAAGATGACCTTTTCGGACTATTTTCATATGCCCTAACCAATTGTCTTACACATGAATGTCTAGATTTACCTATCAAAGCATTGCAAGCATTCCTAGTCTTACAGTGAATGGATCTGTAGTGTTCAGAGTCACTTCAGCTTTGCGTGGGCTAAAACTTCTATTACAGATTGTTCTACACTTCTATCGGAATAAGTTAGCATTTCTTAGACGGAGTTTTAAGACTTTTGTCAATCATGGAAATTCTCATGGAGTATTTTGATAGATTATGCTGATAAGGCCTCACGTTATCAGTCTTTTGATTAAGTGTTAGTTTTTGCTCGTGATGATTATTATAGTACAGTTGATTTTGTACTGATACTTTTGTGTGACCTTTGGTATTTTCTGTTGTTTTACACATTAATGTCTAGATTTACCTATCAAAGCTTTGCAAGCATTCCTAGTATTACAAGGAATGGATCTGTACTGTTCAATGCCTGTAGAGTTAAACGACAGTGCTGTATGCTTCTTTCGAGTTGTTTCTTCACCTGTTTATATACTCATGACGGATGGTTAGTTGGTCTGCGTTTTACTATGCATGTCATATTAAACGATATAACCAAGATAAGTGTTCCTATAAATATACGCCATGATTCTTCAACTGATAAGCTAGTTTTTTTGACCACACCGTTGTCACAGCACACTGTTGAATAGTTAATAATTTTTCCTTCCGCACGATTTGATGAGTTTTAGCCTGATCGAACTCTTAACATGAATGACAAAACTCTGTCACCGCTATTCGCTAACGATGGGAGAAAATTTAGACAATTTTTTCGATAGCATGAGTGATTACGAAGTCTAACAATGTGTTCCTTGGTTTGGACGAAAGTGAGAGATTTCAAATGTATGGGGTGCTAAAGCATACCCCACTACCGTCACTAGGAGCCTACTTCTGAGTCTTTAAATTTTGCGTTGGCTATCTGTGCCCAAATAATATCAGGTGAATAAAACTTCATAATATCATGAATTAGTTATCTTCACACTATAACCCAATGTACTCCAAGATAAAGTAATCAGCTAAACAGATTGAACTACGATAGATGACATCCAATATAAATGTACAAAATTCAATGGTCAGTTTTCAGATAATGACTTCACAATTCTCGCTATCATGGGACATGTAAATATAGGGAAGGATGTTTATAATACTGGCTATGTATGGTTGGGGTTGAACATGCTCGTCGTTGCACTTATATATTCTTGTCAAATTTTTGACCTGAACTGCTACAGAGTATTCTGGTGAGATACTACGAACAAATGCTTTAACCTTTACCAAATCACCCGGGTGTCTGATCTTCGGATAAGTGTCGTTGGGTTCTATCAAATTACTGACAGACACGCTAGGGTTAAGTTCAGCCTTACTTTGGGAATTTACCGGTATATTCTGTGATGCAGAATGGATGTCTAACATGGAAAATATCAACCAAACGGGTATTGTTTGCGACTTCTTTCATTCTATTTACTGTCTCCGCATGGTCGTTTCTCAAACAACACTAGACATTAACCCAAAGAATCCTGTGTTTGTAAACAAACTACAAAGACAGACAACATAAAATCTACTGTAAGATCAACTAAAAAAGGATACCACAATAATGATCCGATGAAAATTCCAAACATTCATCGAAATAATCCATGTTAAACTTGACAAAGCATGTTTTGTTGAAATAAATACACGAAGCAGTCAAGTCACAACTAGGACGAAATAACTGTATTTTTTTCAAACACGCTTTCACCTCAGAACTGCATACTCCGTAAGTGTCACAACAATCAGAAAGCTTCTCAGTAGTTTGTTATTGTGTTTTAACAAAAAAGGATCAGAACTTCTCAGAAAACGGTTTCTCGGCAAGCTATATGATATTCCCACATTTCCAATTAACACACTTTTAGATGGAAAATGGCACAATATCAACTCTTACTCTGATAGGCAGGATTATTAATTGGCTGATGCTGTCGTTGACATTCAAATGAACCTTATTTTCGTCTTCTATTCTTCTACTTATATTGATCTCGGCCTGTTAGTGAAGTTTAAATTAGTGTTATAACATCCCTTCAGGCATAGATTACTATTCAACATCGCTATCAGATTTATGTTTCGCGTCATACCGTTGGGGCAAACAGCGCAGAGGAACCTTTGTTAATCGAGTGAAATCTTTTCGTTGTTGTTATCCTAAAAGGAGCTTACTAGTAGCATTCATCTCATAACAGTTGTTATCGTTTTTTGTTATTTAGTATACTATTTCATGTTGTGTTATTGTTAGTTTTTTATTTCCGGACAGTCACATCGGTTTTTGTGGTAATTTAATTTTTGTATATTATTAGCGAAATTGAGTATTGCCACATTTTGAATAAGTTATTTGCTGGGGTTCACTAAATTTTTAGAATAAATACGCTCTGGTTCATAATAAATTTAGTGCCATGCAAAACGCAAGTCAAGGTATGTTTCGGAGAACTAAAAAAGACCGGGAGACAAACTACGTAAAGTAAGTACAATTTATTCAATAATACAGCCTAAATACCAAAATTAATTCATCACTGAATGGCGATCAATTACATGTGTGTCAAGTCCTTCTTAGTGTAGATCGGATGCTATCGACCAAGTTGCAATGTAGCGACTAGTCTAGGTGACTTGATATTTCGTGCACTATGTTGAGATTAGGTGGTGGTTGGAGGTAGTCAACAGGAGACCTTGAACCCGTATTTCGTGCTACTTGGCACTCTTCATTAAGGCATGCCTATAATCTTGAGGGAATTGGAGCTCCCTGATCGAAACCTTTGTAAATAATGTAGTAGAAAACTAAACGAGGATCTTCATCAATTATTTTCCTAAAAAATGTTCGATAGCACTAAAAGCTGTATTGCCGCTAATATCTCAAACACGATGTCTTGATGATCCGATGTATCAGTCATATACAGACATCCTCATCAAGGTCCCAGGTCATACGTAGGCCACTTTCTTGCAGTTCTCATCCCATCCAGTCACCGGAAAATGGAATGACATGGAAACAACTAAGGTGAAATTTGTAAAACATGTCCTCAACGCTTAAGTTGATAGTAACATCCGAACTATCGTCACCAGTCTTGGATACTTACCGTAACATCTAAGCAAAACTAACATAGTGTTGCTACTACATGTCAACAGTCCTACGAGGGCAGCCATGATTGAGCAGAGTCCTAGAATACTATCAACCAGAACCGCTTCCACCGTATTTTGTTTCATAGTCGAACCTACATCATAATGGGTTGATGCAAGACATACTGGTTCTTACTAAATATTGGTCTTACCAGCCACTGCAGCACTAACTTCCGTACGACAAAAGGTTCTTGACAGTTTCTAACGGTCTGCTGAAGTGACTCTTGGTACAGGCTCCTATTAACATTGTCCATGTCTTTTCCATTTATAAGTTGCAAAGTGCGTATTGCACTTGCTGATATTGATTTCCATTTCATCTCTGTATAACTTTTATCATCAAATGGTGAGATAACATTGACGGTATACTTAAGATCGAATCCCTTTCTCCAAGTAACAGACCTTGACCATTACTACCGACTCCTGCCACTGCTGCTTGAAGGATATCATCAGTGGCGAAGTTGAGTTGGTTGGGCAATCTTACCTAACTCCACTGTTGGGATAGAACAATTGGGTACGTTATATTCGCTTACTGTGAACGAAATAGTTATACTCATAACCCCTAAGATGTTTTTTATGTCTCACTCACACCCTTAGCCAATAGATGATTTCAAAACACTCCCGTACAACGAATTGAAATCGACACTGATTTCAGTTATGCGACTATTGAATGAAAAGTTTTGTTATGACTCAAACAATCTAAAGTTAAAAATTTCAACTCATTGATATAAATGGAAAATAGAACGCGTGAGACATATAAGTTTCCACTTAAACATGCAGTGTCAAAAGTTAATACTGCTAAGGACCTAGAAACAAGAACAAAACAACTGTAAGATGTTTTATGATTTTCACTAATTTTCCACTTAACATTATTTTATGACAAAATCTACGTTCAAAGTGTTTTCTTTTAGTTACAAATTATACAATCAGACTGATTTACTGGTTCCTACAAACTAAATGTCAAGAAATATTCACAAATCTAGGGCTATTTTCCTGACTTTTCACCATTATGTTGTCGATAAAGCAATAATCATGTATGGTTCATTAATCAAAACAAAATACTACATATGTTTAGAACACATATTATTAACAATATTCTTATTAAGGTAAAGTAGAATAGAGATATACTTGCCTAGAATTTATTATTAATAAATTTTTCAATAGCCGTTTACATTCAAATGAATTATTGTATCATACATACACGGAAATTACAACTAATTTTATCATCTGAAATATTTGCAACCCAGTAGAACACGAAGCATTCAAGAGAAAAATCGTATTTTGTTGCTTCGATTCATAAGAAACATGTATAGTATTGTAATTCAACGTTTCGTTTTTGTTATGAAAAGTAACAAAAGCATTTTGTAAACTAGTATCATCATAAAGTAATTGTACTCATTATAACACTAAATCATATCAATGAAAGTAAATATGGTTAAACTATATAAAACTAAGATGTATATCAACTTTTCTCTTGTTGATCTAATTTATTTGTAACCTGACGGATTAAAGTTTCTAAATCACCAACTTTTAAAAAATGAAAAATTCAAAAAAGAAAGAAAAAAGAATAATTTTAATGAATCAATTCTAATTTATATAAACACAATTAAAATGAGACAAAGTTATAATTTAAAAACAACTTGTAAGGTAAATTCCATTAGAAAATGGTACCCCTTGAATAAACATCGGGAATTAAAAGTCAATAAATAAATTTCATCTTAACTTGGAGCTTTATACACACATCTTCACACAGAATCTAATAAAATATTAAAAGCATACTTGGTAGTGATTAACTATGACCTTCAGCTTTTAATGTTTTATTGCAAATCAGTGCTTTATTAAGTCAATCGGTTATGTAGGATAGAATATAACAACCCACAAAGTACAATAATCTAGATCAATGACTTAGATCCTGGAATTCATTTCGATTTGTAATACATGATAAATCCCACTGTCATTGAAGTACATTATGATTGAAACTTATCTCGAAGTTGAACAAACTCTTTTTAAAACATACATGAACTGATCACATATATTGACAAAACAATAATTAACTAATTATTATCCAAAGACAAGTTCATTATAAGAAGGATAAATCAATAAATTTAGTTCTCATGAAATACTATATATTTAGCTCACTTCAATGATAAAATGTTGCCAACGTTTCTTAATTTCAATAACAACAATTTATTAACACTTTATGATAATTGTTCAGATTACGAATAATCTAACAAACATGGGATTTGTTTACACATTCATAATTTAAAACACATATACCATGTCGAGAGTAGGTCAAATATAAACAACCAAATTAGATGATCGCAATGCTATAATATGAATTTGGAAATGCAGATCATTGGATTCTGAAAACGTGGTTTAAAGGGTGACTTAATAAAAGGTTACACTTATTCTTCTCACTTATTTGTTGCATGTTTTTTATCCGTTCATTCTTTTGGTGTCTCTTTTTCAGTATTTGTATATTTGAAATGATTCTTCACACACCCTCTTATTGTGTAAAATTGAATGATTGTCATTTTAATAAATTTATTTTCTCAGGCTTTGACCGAATTCCCATATTGATATGTTTATTTAAATTTTTTCATGCTTATTACTACCAGTGAACCTGTTTCACTGTTATCATTGACTTAAAAACTGCTTCTATTGATTCATTCCTTTTCATATGAACATGAAAAGACATTATTAAAGCTTGATAAAGGTAAAATTGAGAATAGCATTGTTTACTTATATGTATTATTCTAAAATGAAAGTCGTCTCTTCACCCTACTACTACTAACTTTCGAACCTTTAAAAATCGGTATAATTTCTCTTAAGGTTCCTAAATCAGAACAACAATGATAACAAAAATTACCGTTACAAAAAATAGTAAACTTAACTAATATCTACCAGTATAGAGGTTTGTTGTGATTGTTGAATGTTATCGTGTTCACGAACCGACCTAAATTAGATAATCATCGAAAACTAAAAAGCCCTGGACACAGCTCTTTCGTCCTCGAATGGGACTCTTCAGTGACGTCTTGGTTCTCAAAGGTTGATTCGGGGTGGTTTATGATCTCAGTCAACTGCTATCAACTTACCAGGATCTGATGAATTCTCCGTAGTTCGCCTTACGTTCCCTAATTTATCGATGAGAGAGGATGGCGTAAAATTCATAGACGATCGATTTGAGGCCGATAATTTGTAGTTACTAAGACCTGAATTTGGAAATGTGTTGTCTTCCACTAGCAACTTTACAGATGAAGGATTACGACTGTGAAGTTGATGTAAAATTGATTTGCATCCATTTTTTTGATTATCAACTAAGTGTAAACCATTATTATGATGTAAGTGAGAATCTAAAATTATATCATTAAGTTCATCAGCATGTACAGAATGATTTGCCAAATGTGGGAGATTTTTTACAGCTGCTGTTTCAATAGATAATTGTTTAGCTTTTTGACAAGCTAATTCTGCTTTTTGTTCCGCTAAATAAAATCGATTCTCGGTTTCACGCAGTAGTTTTTCAGTGTCGTATAACTTTGTATTCAAATCTGAAATTTGATTAGTAAGAATAGTTTTTAAGTCTTCATGTGATTTTGATTCATTCTGAAGTCGTTGCTCTAACTAAAATTTAGATGATAAAAATACCATGATTAAGATGATATGATACGTATCACAGGTTTTATGAACACAAGCGAAGAAAATTTAAGAAAATTATTATAAGTCTTTAGTTAAGTTAGATAATGCCAGCAGTGAAGTATGGGTTGAAAATTTTGTCCTATTTGAGACTGGTCTGTTAGGTCTCCCAGCATGTCAGCCATAATGTTCACATTGAAACTCAGAACATGGTAAACTTCGCTTAAGATGTCCAATGAGTTATAAAATGAAATACTGATTTTAGATAGGTTTTATAATGAATATGAATCTTATTTATGATGGTTTGTATTCCCCAGTGATTTGAAATTAAGATTACCATTGATCATTCTCTTTTAAAATATGAGCATTGCAAACAGTCTGTCTCAATATAGTCATTTAGTCACAGGCTTTTAGTAAAGCTGGAGAGTAGCTAGTAGTAGAACTTAGAAAGCGCGTTTGGGACTCGTCAGCTGAATGTGCCCGTATAACAAACGAAATAAAAATATCAAAGCACTTTGGTCAGGATGCACTGATACCGAAAGAGACTAACTAATGGGAGTCCATAATATCAATAACCAGAAAATAAAAATGCTTTTAGATAAGATGTGATAAAAGGAACTAGGGTAAAAAAACACATTTGATAAAACGGAAAATTTCATTCTTAAAATTCATAATTGGATATCGCTTGAGTGGAAACAGATCAAAACCGTAGATAATTACAGTATCAAAGCATTAGTTTATCATCGTAGTCAAAAATGAAGTGGATGGATAAGGAAAGAGACCCATTGTGTCATTGAAGAATGAAAGCAATTCGACAAAGAAAATTTTCTTTTCGACGATTTCATTTACATAAGCTGTATAATTGTATTTATAGTTAATTTTATTTGCTAGTCTACAGTAAACCATAATGGTGCTAAATAATTAAAAAAACTTCCAGTGGTTTTTTTATAATGAATTGCTCATGAATATCAGATATTGTAAGTTAGTTGTGTATTAATCAGCTGATGAAAAGTGCTGATGGGAAAATAATTGTCCACTTGATAAGTATCACGAACAGAATAATTAGAAGTTGTCATAATGGCTAATTAATAGTTGTCGAAATAATTGGAGAGTAGTAGAAATAATAACTAAAAACGATAGATTATGGAATAATGAGGCAACGAATATACTGTATTTGTACGCAAAGATTAGTCTTGAACCAATGGACAGCAATAGCCTCTGCTGCATATAGATTTTTCATTTCCATTCCTCTTAAGGTGACTCTTCTGAATGTATCTATGATTTTGATAAAGACTTCTGGTGAAGCGGAGTGACCACAATTAAGTAATTGCTCTAAGCTTTAGCTTTTGACTGACTTAAGTAATACTTTATAAAGTCAGCCAGTGTTCAGAGATGATTTTTGAAAGAGCTTGTTTCGTGTGTCCTATTTAACAATAGGTCACTTTCCTTACTTGGAAACATGTAAGGATACTGAGATAGTAAGGGAACATTTTGGTTTTCTGAGGTTTTCTATCAAGCTTGTTGTAGAGAATGCTAGAGTCACATTTTTAAAAAGTAGATGGATAATATTTTACAAGCAGCTACTGATATGATGAGAGCAATGTAGTGATTTGTGATTACTATATAATCACTACGGCCTCAACAGGGGTCGAACTCATAACCTTTAGCCCTTGTGGGGGAACACTTGACCAATAAAAATATATTTCAACTTTTTGTATCTTCCACCAGGTGAAATACATATTATCTACAAACATACTTGTTTATGTTTTTGTTTATCAAGTTCAATTTGTTCAAGAAGTAACTGTTTCTCCTTGGTCAATGCATCAACATTTAGTTTTGTATCATCCAACAGTTTTGTTTGAGTATTAAACTTCTCAGTTAGCACTTTTAATTGGTATTTGGTTTCATTATACGCAGATATTTGATTCGTTTGATCATGATTTTGTTCCAATAACTACAAACCAATATAATCGAAAACAAACGACCATGAATTGGAAGCAATAGTTCCAAATTTAGTCTATACAATGTCAAAACTTCTGAAATACATACTAACAGATTTTTTATTAAGCTCTCAGGAAAGATTTATCTACTTGGAGCAGGTTAATTAACAAAAAATCTTTAAAAAGATAACGTGAAAGCTGATTCGATGAACTCCGAATTTTGATCCACCATTTCAGGTCAGCGCAGTAGAAAACGTTTTGCCTCGCAGATTGATTTTACTGATAAATTGCCGGAAAAACCTTATTGGACAATCTAAACTGTTGTTGAACCAGTCGCTTTAAACTAATTAATCAATTAATTTTTACAGTTTTAAGTGTATGAAAAGTGTGAATTCTCTAAATTTTAATGTATCACAGTTACAAGCCAGGTCTGGTTTTCAGTATTCCATGACTCAGTGAGATATAAGTATATCGGTTACCAATCATATTGGTTGTCGGATCTTGTGACATCATGAAATACCTAATTTTTTTATTATTGTATTACTTCAGTTTCGTCCTTGTTACTAAAAAGTAGTTTGCTTCAAATCTAGGATTACAAGTGAAGTTCTATCTGATGGAGTCTATAAAGAAGTTGGTGAGACGATATCAAGTAGTTGATCAAAAGTATTTAACATTGAATTCGAGTATTTCATGATAAAATTCGTAAAATTTATTATATACTTGAATAAAAGAAATAGCAACTAGAATATAAATGGAAGTCATGAATGCTATATTGAGTAATATATTAACTGAATACTGATAGTCACATCTTTTCTTTTCAGTTGACTATGTATAGGATTTTTATAGTTAGAAATCACCTGAGGTAAAATTGGGATGCGATCAAAATTCAACCTCTATTGCTCCCACTTAATGGAACCTATTACTTGGAGAATTCTAGCAAACACCTCAAATCCAATCAATAAATTACATATCAATTATGTAATCTAATTGGACAAGATTTTTAAGTTTTACTTATTAAATGGATGAAATTAAAAACATTTGGATAATCTTCACCTACCTTAGTCTCTAAATCCCGAATATCTAATTGTAATTGTCGATTCATTTTTTGAACTTCTAACAACTCTTGTTGAAGTCGACTGTTATGTTCTTCCAGTTTAGATTTTTGTATTTCAATTTCTTTATGTAAATTGGTTGAAAATTCTACTGTTTTATTTGAATTAGCAAGTTGTTGGTCAACTGTTGCCTGATTGATGATAATAACAACAAGTGTAATAGAATTATACAAACAGATGCACATTTTAAATTACAACTTAACAAAATGCGATGTCAACAATCAAAACAATTGTTATCCTAAATTCCATCATTATTAGATGGATACGAAACAAAAACTTGTGACGTGATACTATATCAAGGTATTCTACTGAGTATTCAGATCTGACAACAGAGACAATTTTAAATATCGACAAGGGGAGAATACAAACCTTCACACTTGTTGACCAAGATAGTAGCTATTTGTATTCAGTGGATAACGTTTTTGACATTTGAAGCAAAGGGCAATCGGTTTGAGTCTCAACGTGAACTATGGGATGACGCTATATCTACCTGACTAGTTTAAAATAAACCGAAACCGTTATCTTGAATTCTAATGTTAGCCAACAGCCAAATGTACTATTATCGATCATTCGATAGATTTAAATGTTATTAGTGAGAAATCAGGTTTGAGAAATGTAAAATTTGGGTAGGAATTCTTTAGTACATTAGACCTCATATTTTCAAAAATATTTTAATTAAACACTTGTTCTTGCAATTTCTATATAGTCCTTATTAAAAGCTATCCTTCAATTCAATAATTCCTGTCATATATTTTACCATCCATAAATCACAATTATAAATTTGTTATACAAGTTTTTTTCTGTTTTTATCCGTGTTGTTTATTACTTATGTTTGAAACGAGGAACCACTACAATTCCCTCGACACGTAGTAAGAACACTGAATACTGGTACAAATAGAGATTTATTCACCCCTAAAAACACGATGAGGACTCAGTAGCTAAGTGGACTCTAGTAGAAAAGACATTTATTCATATATTGATTGTACGCTCATTGTGACTATTAATTAGAATGAAATCACGTCTATGAAAAATACCAATAGTTGTAACAAACCATATGCCGCATGTCATGCTATGTCTAGTTTACGTTAACTTAATGCACAATATCCTATCTTGAAATAACACCACACCCAAATAAATTAATGTTATATTGAATAAAATATCACACTGGAAAACAAAAACAAACACTACACACAATAATCATCATATAGAATTAAAAGTGGAAGTAATGTTGAACAAGAAGTCACAATGAGTAAAAGAATGTAATTTCGCCTTTTTCATCTTATCATATCAATATTGAAAATGTTTAACCGACGGATCTATTGTGATTTATAAATTATGATCAATTTTGATAATCTAACTTCATATTTAATATCACAGTAGCTATGACTTCATAACGTAAAGGTGTTTACGACCATTTATCTAGCTTTCTAGTGTTCTGATTAAACGTTTAATATGATGAATAGCGCTACAAAGAGATATGATTGTTGCAACTATAAAAGACGTATGAACTAACTATTAATAAAAGTGAGAAAATTTTACATATACAGTTTGTTCTGATTGTGATCCTACACTCTTAAATTAATTTAATCTCAGGAATAGTATCACAACTTTTTATTCCTTCTGTACTACACCATTTTTTTAAATACTCTCAATTATCATTTTGTATCTTCTTAACCTTTCTTAATTTCCATTATAAAATGACTTAAAAATGAATGTATAATCAGATTAATCAAAATGTTTTGCGTAAAAATATCATACTTTCCTGTTCATTTTTAGACTTTCGAAAAATTCCTATACTGATTTGGTTAACTGCGTTACTACGTCCGTAAGCCTAGAACGATACTACTTTGCTGATTGCCACATGTTAATGCAACTGTTTACCAAAATATTTTTCGTCAAAATTAAACAAAATAATACAAAACTGATTGTTAGGAGAATGTCAAATTATCTAAACTTCTTTTATTATTGTTGATAAACGTTAATTCTAACGTGTTAAATAAGTTCTCAATAACTTTTTCCAGTTGAAATTACCCTACTTAAATTATTTGCAGTTGTTTAATTGGTTAACGTTATCTATAGCATGAATGTTTTTACTTATGTACCTCAAAGCCCTAAGTAATACTATAAAAACAATGTTGTTCTGTTACAATCTGACTTCTTTGAATATCAGGTTTTATCAAAGCTCTTAACTTCTCTCCCTTAACCATTTACGTGGTTATAGTTGGGAAGTTGTGCATTAATCGTCTAGTCTATCTAGTTAGCGTATGTTTTTTTCCCATTAGAAGAATCATTAAATTGTTCGTAGTTCAAACACAACATAAACCATGTAGAAGACAGATTACTTGTCTATGAAGACATAAAGAGATTTCTTAAATACTTACTTTAAGTAATTCATATTCTTTTGATTTTTCGTCAAATAAACTAGTTTTACTTTGAATTTCATTTTCCAAAAATTTAATCAAATTTTCACGTTCATTCAATTTGATTTTTAATTGATTGAAACAAATTTCTAATTCATTATATCGTTGATCATTTAATTCCTGTGTTGTATTAGCAGATTTTAAACGTAATTCAGATTCTGCTAGTAAACTATTCAATTCAGTTATTTTTAATTCCATTTCATTAATTTTTGTAATTTGATTATTTTGATTCATCATTGTATTTTCTAGCTGTTTGATGACATTTTGACTGAAACATAATTGATTATTAGATTCCTCCATAAGGTTTTCATACTGATAAAGAAGGTATAATAATAATGTTGATTCAAGCAATTACTTTATTTCTGAGGATTTTGTAAATAGCTTGACATTAGCTTGTATACTAAAAAACACTAAATAATTCATTCACTATAGTTTCGGACAATTTGGGATTATGTTACAATGTGGAGTCGACTAAATCATGTGCACTCAGATACTCAAAGTTCGACCGAATATTGCTTCACTCCCCCCCCCTTACTGTGTGTTTGAGTATGCGTAAAATAAATTCTTTTAATTTAATCCATATTTGCCTTCCTATTGGTGTCGCCACTGAAATGGGATTAGACTAGTCATAATATTCGGAATTAAACTAAAGATTCATTTTCATTGTATATACATTCATTCAATCTAATCGAAGTCAGATCTCGAGCCACCAAGAAAACCTTCAAAATTAAACCATTCAGCTCGTAAAACAACACACCCACAAAAATTACTAATAGTGTCAAATCCAAGTCCCTATTTAACAATCCAGTATCCCGCATCGCAAACCAATTTCTGAGACAATGTACATACACTACAAGTATTCGACTTCGTATAATTGAAGAACTGACACTATATGGCAGGAACCTCTTGAAGTTGAGTTCAAAATTCTAAGCTACCACAGAAAGTTGGCCAATTAAATTATAATTGAAGTCACTGATTTATGTTTCACATGGAACAAGCAACTCTATGCAAATATTAGCTGAATCATGCAGTCGCTGAATAAAAAGTTAAGCGATAATAGTTCACGAAGTCACTAACAACGAATTTCTGAGATGCAAAATGATCTATTCCTTTGGAATCAGGTCATTTGAATGTGACAAATCAGTGGTTAGTGATCCGCGAAAGTCAACTCGTCAGAATGTGACAAATGCAATTACTAATCACCTTCTTAAAATCTTTGCTCAATAGTGTTTTTTTTATAATTTTGACATCACAACCCTTTTATACGTTTTAATTTTCCAATATTATTGGAAGGTTCAATGATGATATGACACTTTAGTAATAGTAATCACTTGGTAAAAATAAACAGAGATGTTGCTTTGATAACTGGTTAAAATATTAGAATAAAGTAAAGTAAATAAGATGAAAGGTATAAAAAAATACTTATGAATGAACCAGTATTAAACAATCATCACTACACACATATAAAGAAAAACTGTCAAGTTCAATTTGGCCTAAAACTAAATTATAGGGTCAACCAATAAGGAAGTCTGATAGCTTCTAAGTAACTAATAAACATAGAAACTGAATAGTACAATAATAGTTATTCATAGATAGTATAATCATGTCATATGTATTATGTAATAAGTATTTAAAAAGAAACTCACTTTATTATTCGCTTCTTGTAATTTCATTTCAATTTGTTTTAATTTTTGTCGTGTACGTTGAATTTCATTAGATTTTTCATTTAATTGTTTTTCATAATTATCACATTTATTTTTTAATTCAATTTGTAATTTATCATAATTAGTTAATGCTGTAGTTTTAGCTAATTTTAATTTACTCATTATACGTTGATTAGTATGTAATTGTTTTTGTACAATTGTATGAGTTAATTTTAAATCATTTAATTCTTTTGTCATATTTTTTAATTCTTCTATCGTTGATTCATTAATATCAGCTTTAGATGTACGTAAACTATTCAATTCTGATTGATATTGTTCTATCTTCAATTTAAAAGAATAAATTTTTTACGAAAAGAAATAAAATAATCATAATGATAATAATGATATAAGAAAGATTAGTTCAGCGAAGAGTTCTCTTTTATAATACAGGAGATCTTTGTGAAATGTTAAATTCTAATAACGGGATGCGTGGACGAATAGAATCGATAACATTTTGTGCATGACATTTAAGAGATTTTGAGTTTGAATAAATATGGTTTCTTCGAAGAATTTTCCAGTAGTATTTAGGATATTTGTGCATTTTAATGCAATCCTTAATGGGTGTATTCCGTTTATTAAAAAATTCCAAGGACCCTTCGACAGTAAAGGAACTTAATGAGTTTCTGCGTTATTCTGTCAAACTTGCGGAAGTGAATGCGAAGGTTAGCTTTCTTAAGGATTGTGTTAAAAATACACAAATATCCTAAATACTACTGGAAAATTCTTCGAAGAAACCATATTTATTCAAACTCAAAATCTCTTAAATGTCATGCACAAAATGTTATCGATTCTATTCGTCCACACATCCCGTTATTGGAATTTAACATTTCACAAAGATCTCCTGTATTATAAAAGAGAACTCTTCGCTTAACTAATCTTTCTTATTTAATGTCTTAATGGGTGTATTCCGTTTATTAGTAATGGTATAGACAAAGAAATACATGCAACATCAATTGTACCATGAATTAGGTCAAGGAAACTTCCAAATTATAATGTAGGTATATTATGTGTATAGTCCGTTAAAAATGAGGTGCATAGACGTGAATTAGTTGCATATAAATATATATTAAAACATCATTTTGGTATATCCATGATAAGATACTATGAGTGTTATTGAAGTTATAAATAAAAGAATATCCATTTAAAAAATTAAAAAAGACTATTCGATATCAAACCAAGTGTTTGGCGATGGATAGAATAGATGTTTACATTACGCTCGTTATCTGATAACAGACTATAGATTAATTCAGTTGAATCATAATGATTAGAAGTGATTATCCAGTATTTACTTATGAATGAAATGGTAAAGATTTATTAGAGTAACATTTTTGTAAGCCTAGAAAAATGTGTTTCAAAATAAACTGCACGATAATATTATGTAGTCAGCTGTGATATTTGTAAGAAGTTACATAGAAGTATCATTAAGCATTACACATATCAAGGTTTAAAGCAAAATGTAAATAATAAATATATTTTTATGATATCCCAAATCAGTAGAAAATTGTATTTCTGATATTTCTTGACTTAATGTAAGTCACTTTTTCAAAGGAAATATTTACACAAAAATATATTTATTATTAACTTTCTACCCAATGTTCAGTTTATTTGAAGATATCAAATCTAACCTTTGCATTGATAACTACACAATTTAAATGTTTATTATTTACTAAAACAGAACTTTCTATGTTTCGTTTCACATTGTCTAGCTCTTAATCCTTTATAATTTAGAAGTTCTTTGCCTGATTCCAATATGTTCAAATCATTAATTATATAGACGAAATATTAATCCTATTCACTTCATATATGTACCGTTCATAAATCGGATGAATTACTGAGTGAATATAAAAAGTTGAAAACAAGGTAGGCATGTGAACTTGAATGGAGGATTAATTTAAATAAGACTCAACACTAATAAGCATGATATAGATACAAGCAAACATGTAAATATATTCTATGTCATATACATAACTCAAGGTAACATGCATAGTTGACAGAACAAGTGCAAACATCAAAATAATTCATCTGCCAAAAAGGATAAATCAAGTAGGTATGTAATACAAAAAAAGTTGCTACAATATCGGCCGAGGACAAACACCTCCTTGTCAAGTCATCTGAGTGTATCGTAGTCAGTAAGTACGGTTATGTTATCGTTTATTTAGACATTCAATTAACGATATTTTAGAACATTTTAGAACTTTTAGGACATTTAACTTTTACCATGTAGTTTTTCTTCCATCATGACTGAATGCACCCCAACTGGTTGGAAGAAAGTTAAGGGCACCAAACCAAAACGTGGCATCAGTGCTTGAAGCCACTAAATTCTGGTTTGAGCTATGTTGGTAGATGCAGGATACTTGGTTGGTGTTCGCGAGACTATCGTAACCAATGGTTGGAGACTCTGAGTGACATGGCTCAGAGTCGATCACAATGGCCTAGTTGTATACGCTCTCTTTCTTCCCCTAAACTACGAGATTAAAGTCGCTTTACATTTTTCTTTCTACGAACTAATTATTTCTTCCTGTACTATATCCTTATACGCAACCTTTCTTTTATATATTACCACTATTGAATTAACTACTTCTATGAATCCGGTGTTCATCTTGCTGTGCTAATGCGGTATGGCAACTTGGACCGATGCATATATATGCCTGGTCCTACGTTGTAGCTGACTGACTGACAATTCCGTACCATGGTGGGGTGCTATTTATGTAAGCCAGCAAAAATGATGGAGAGTGAAACATCTCCTCCATCATGGATTACGATAGTGTAATTAATAATTGTAGCTTCATTTTGATTAGTTGCCAGGTGCTAGGTCGAAGTCGCGAACGATATCACATCTTTCATTAAAAAAACCGACTAATCACACAAAAGCAACATAGAAACTGATAAAAATGAACGTGCGCCCACGTTGTCATAACATACCTGTAAAGCGACATGAAATTAACAAGTTGAATGGTAAAAGAATAGAAGCAATGGTATCAGTTGAATTAAAAATGATAAGGCATATGGATATGACTCAAAAAGACAGAGTGAATTAATGGAATAAAAATAACTAAACAATGCGAAAATCAGAATTCAATAAAAATAATCTATCTGAGCCATTGAGACAGATTTTGGACGATGCTACACAACGTCTCCAAACATTAGTCAAAATAATCGCACCCATCTAAGTAAGGCTCAGCTTAGCTTTCAGTGATTTCGTGAACTGATAGTGGATCATGATTTATCCACACTCAGCTTTCTTCCAGCCCATTTCTACACAAACTAAAATCCCATTTCAAAGTAGATGTTAGTTGATAATACGTAATACAAGTTCTGATTACTTCAGCCGATAACTGATTAGAATATACCAGCAAACCACATTTCATCCGATGTTTAAACTCAAAGAAATAAGTGCATTAAATTATTCGTAATCAGGTGCATTTTCTAGAAAAATGTGAAGTACATACCCATCTTCATGTAGTAAAATCGATTTCTGGAGAATTGAAAAGAAAATTAGGTAGAACCAATGTAATCTACCTGAATAAAATACGAATTACTGTTCAAAAATAAACAAAATTTATTACCAGCTACAACCGAATCGTACAACATAATTCTAAGCAGTTATTTAAATGTTTTTTTTATTTTGTTTATAATGATCAATTTCTTGAGATCAAAAAAAGTAACTTATTCAACTATAGAAGCTAATAAACAATAAAACACCTTACACTATAATTACAATCATATAAACCGTAAACACATATCAGTAACTCGTATATTATGTCAGAAGTCCCAGACTAAAACAAAATAAAACACATTGTTATTCATCTTTCAAACAAAGAACTTGACAATAATACAATTTATTAATAATAAGGATAGATCATAGTTGAAATAATCCAGTTTTAATCTAAATTAAAGTAAACCATTAAATAGTAAAGCAATATAAATGATCTTGTATTGATAGAATGTAACAAGAGAATCAATTCATAAAAAAAAATAAACTTTAAACATTTAGTGACACAATGATTTCAGTAAGCTAATAGGATCTTTTTTTTTAAAATCAACACTCAGAAATCTCTGTAGGACTTGATAAACTTAGTTCACTTCCTAAACATTCAATTGTCACTAACCATTTACAATTATTTTATAATATCAATAATAGAGAATTTCTCAATATTCGTTTCAATCAATCTATCTACATTAATTATACTTTTTTCATAATGATTAAATATTAAAACAAAAAGGTTGTTGTGACTGTGGACTGCAGATTAGACGGCAGCAAATTACCGATCGAACCAAAAACGCGTAAACACGTAAGAACGTCCTAGAGTTATGATTGGTCGCGCTCCCCTGTCTAGCTCAGCCAGTTGAGTCCAGAACGCAAGTCCCAACCTCTGATATATGAATCACTATATTTCAAGCATATTGAGTTCATATACCAATCAAACCGACCACAACGTACCAATAAAATATGAAACAACATTTGTACAAGAATTAGCCAGATGTGGCTGTGAATGAGGGAGGTAGCGATTAATAGACAGGGTATACTGCGCGGCAGTTCGTTCTGTTTTACTTTACGGCAGCGAAACATGGCCACTAAGAGTAGAAGACACTCGTAAGCTATTAGTATTTGACCACATATGCCTTAGAAATATTGCTGGTGTCTGCTGGGATCACCGGGTAAGTTATAGTGAGGTTAGACACAGGGTATTAGGGAATGATGGTAAATCAGTTGATGAGGTTGTGAATCTTCATCGACTGAGATGGTTGGGTTACGTGTCACGTATGCCTGAACACCGACTACCACGACGTGCAATGCTATCCGGTATTGGAGATGGTTGGAAGAAAGTTAGGGGTAGCCAAACCAAAGCGTGGCATCAGTGCTTAAAGTCACTAACTTGTAGTCTGAGCCATGTTGGTAGATGCAGACTGCTTGGTTGGGGTCCGCGTGACTATCGTAACCAATGGTTGGAGATTCTTGGTGACATGGCTCAGAATCGATCACAATGGCGTCGGTGTATACACTCCCTCTCTTCCCTTAAACTAAGAGATTAAAATCACTTCATATCTTTCTTTCTACGAACCAATTCTTTCTTCTTGTAGTATATCTCTATATGCAATCTTTCTCTTATATATTACCACCTTTGACCTAACCACTGCTATGAATCCGGTGTTCATTTCGTTGTGCTGATGCGGTATGGCAACCTGGACCGATGCACATATGTGCCTGGTCCTACGTTGTAGCTGACTGACTGACTGAGACAGGGAATAATTCATGAATGGTAAATCGTATAATAATAGTTCATAGGTCAAAATAAAGCTTATAATAAGAGGGGCATGGATATGAACAGTTTAGTTATATAAAAATTATACGATAAAAATATACTCATAATATTGTTCCATAAATGAATCCCGAAAATTACCATTCATTATTCTTATCGGGATACAACAAAGGTAATTAGATTAGTTTAAACAAATAATATACAATTATGATAATCATTCTTACCTGGTTTTCTGATTTTTCTAATAATTTTGATTTAATGTTTATTTGTTCATTTGCTTTTGAAATTTGCTCTTTCAATAAATTTAATTCATTTACAAAATTATCATTTTGTTTGTTTAAATTTAATTCTGTATGTTCAATAGTTTGATTGGCTTTGTTTAATTCTTGTTGTAATTGTTCATTTTTACTATTTGATTCCTAGATAAATTACTTAAATTAATCAACTACTGATATGATTGCAATAAATAACACCTAATAAAAATAATTTCAAAACAAAATATTTGATGAACATGTGCCATTCAATTTCATGGATCAGTTGACGTTAGATATTAACAATATTGGATACCAACTCAGTGGTCAAGAGCTTAAGCGTTCGCGCGCGAGACCGATAGATTCTAGGTTCACATCTTGCGAGGCGGGATCGTGGATGCGCACGAAACGGCAATCAAGTGCTTCCAGGTTTTCTATAGTGGTCTAGCTTCAGTTGACTCATGATCTCAACTATTGAAATAAGAACATATATTACTCATTTTAAGTGGCTATTATTATTTCACAACTTTTGTGAAAACATTTATAACCTGAGAAAAGTATGCTGTCGAACGTGACAATGTCTTTTTTCATAAGTGCACTTGTCAATAAGTTAAAAGTATTTCGTACAAAAACTTATAAGTCACTTACGTTAGTACTAATGTAGTTTTACTTGAAGATTTGACGCTTTTATACGTACACTTATTGAATACTTTCATTATATGTGTTATAACTTGTGGCCATGTGCCCTATCAATATGTAACGTAATGATATCGCCAATTAAAGAAGTGACGTATAGGCCGGACCGCATAAACCCGTACGAGCAGTCTACAGTCCTTGTCGATCCTTCTTCCTGCCTAGCCCTGCCTGCTGAGTCCAGAACACCAATATCAGCCTCCGTGATATGAATCATATATTTCAAACATTCTGGGTTTATACACAAACCAAACAGATCACATCGTACCATAAAATAGAAAACAACATTTGCACGAGATCTAGCCAAAAGTGGCTGTTAATGTGTGATGTAATTAATAAACTGGGCATTAGTCAAGAACGGTAAGTCGTATAATGACAGCCTATAAGTCAAAATAAAGCTCATAATAAGAGGAACATGAATATGCATAATTTAGTTACTTAACAATTTATTTCACTGGATTATACTCTTTAAATAACATCTCCAAACCCTAATCTTCTCGATTACTGCTTATACTCTTACTACCTCTACCACTACGGGATTTGAATCGACAACTGCATCTCTGTGCTAATGTGGTGTGGCAACTCGAACTGATGTACGTACGTACGAAGTTCTACGTTGTTACTGACTGACTGACTAACAATTATACAATAAAAATATATGTATCATATTGGTCCATAAATAGTTCTCAAAAGTTACCATTCATAATTCTCGTCGGGATATAACCACATGACAGTAGTCAGTATAATTATTTCAATTTTAATGTTATTACCAAAAAATAATGCGAGATTCTGTGAGTCAATTGATCAGTTCTAACAGTTCAACTTATACCAGTTTTGTGCTACCTAACGATCTATGAGGCAAGAACACCAACAGTTAAAAATATGCTTGCTATAAAGAAAGATTGATTGATATTTAACAAAAGATTTTTACCATTTCTACAATAGAAATAACATTATTATATGACCCCATTGTACGTATGTTTTACAAAATAAGACGTAATATAACCGAAAAGAACCAAATCAGGTTATTGAAAAAAATATGGATTCCAATTTCATGATGGAATTTTGGCGCGTGAAATCAACATTTCCAATTATGAAACCAAAATACATAATTTTCTGGGTGATGTGAAGAAAGAAACAAAGAAGCAATGATGGACAACGGAAGCTACTTTTGGGAACAGGGTCTCACTTAATTCAAAGTCGGTAAATTACTAATATTTAGTTTTGTACCTGTTTTATCATGGAAGTTATAAGTCTTTGTTTGGTCCATGAATCACGACCTTAATCTTTTTTATTCCAAAATTATTGTGGTTTAAACGCAACCTTTTTCTACACCAATTTTTACTCTAATGCTCTAGTTTGCAAATAATCACATTTTTCTTGTTCTTTGTGCTTTTTGGTCTTGTTAGTTATATATTGCTTCATGTCCTTTTTCGAGTTAATCTGAATCATGACTAAATCAAGTAACAATCCAGCCGATTCAAACTCTCTCCCACGTTTGCTAACCTATCAGGTGATAGAATATTTTTCATCTCTCTGCCTTCAGAGCCGTTCAGTCACAACCAAACTCCTGCATTGCTAGCTTCAAAGTTGTGCTAAATAGTCTATTGAGTTAAAAGCTTAAACTAGATTGATAAAAATTCTTTACAATATATCGATGGGTAGACGGATCAAGTAGTTAACACTGGGTATCTCTGAAAAGATGTATTTAATGAAATAGGTGATAATAGAAGGAATAGCAGATAGGATGAAATAATAATAAGACTTACTAACCATGAGTTCGGACTCCAAATGTTTACATTTTTCTATTAAAGATTTTAATTCTGGTTGTAAATGTTGCTCAATGCATTGTTTTAATTCTAACGCTGTGGCTACACCTTCTTCACCAGTTGATAAAGCAGCTAATAAACGTGTTGATGCATTGGATGCATCAAAAGCAGCTTGTTTTTGTAAATGTTCAATTAATAAAACATGTTCTTTCATATCATTCTTTGTTGAATTTAATTCTTTTTCTAAATAATTACGTTCATCTAAAATAGTTTGAATTAATTCATTTGCTTTTTGTGAATCTAGATCACGATTATTCTATATGAAAGAAAAATATGATAAAAGTTGAAAATGATTAAATAAAAAGAACAAATTAAACAATTAATGATTATTTAGATGTATTTTTAATAAAAGAAAGAGATTATATTTTTTCTAGTTTAGTGATAAAAACTAAAGTTAGTCATTCTTTTGAAGTGCATGTGAATGCTGAGTGAAATCCTTCTATGTTGTTATTGATTCATCGTGGACATTAACTCTGGAAGCAGATCCATCTAGCTGACAAATCCTAAATATAACGAAACGCAGTTCATGAACTCCACTCCATGTCACAGTTCAATTTTACGAATGAAAATTTAACTATATATATACACTGAACATTAACACATTAGTTTGGTTACTAGTTGAGACAACGCAATATATTCAATAACTCTACTCTGATAGATAAGTAGATAAATAGTTTCTCGCTTAGTATTAAAACTTTTTTGTAAGGTTGTCATATCTAAATATTTTCAAACTTATAACAAAACTAAACGACTAGCTCTGTCAATGTGCAAATATGTCCAAGTATTTTTTGTTTACAAGGTATTAGTTGTTTTACAACAAACGTGACTTATTGTGGATCAGTACTTCGACTTTAGAAGAATAATTGACCTTAGCTTATGAATGTAATTTTTTAAAGAATTAATTTGGATAATATTTAAAGGCACTAGGTATTCATATATATATGTAAGAAAACGTCTAATGTTTCATTAGTTGGATCGCAAAACAGATTCGAAGACTTTAGACATCATTCATTTTAAAAATGTTGATATGAGAGTTGTATATGGTTCGGCCAACACGAATAAGTTAATAATGATATAACTAATAAATAATTCTTTGAGGCAATTCATAGACAATCGGTATAATAAAATTGACTTTCAAACCAATTAATATCGTTTGAAGGTAGATCACAATATCAAATGTGGTATTGTCTGAACCGCTATGGAAATTAAGAAACACTGAACGGTTGTGTGATCTCACCCCATGATACTTATGTAGTGGACACGTAATTAAATTTGTTCTTGAATAAATTAAATCCAACTATCATAATATTGGTGACTAACTTGATAATGTTAGTACGAAAATCCTTTAATCAAAACATTTGTTATTTTTGGTAATCATGAAAATTTTAGAAACCTATAAATAAATATAATACAATTGTAGAAAAGCTGATTTACTTGTTCAGTATCTTTGCATTATTTTTAAAATTTTGTTCCATATGATTAACCTTTGTGTGATACATAAAATTTCCCACCATCAGACTGAGAAGCATTGCTTTTTCAATAAGCTAATAACACAGTCTGTATTCGAAACATAAAACAATGATATGGAAATTCTGGGAACAAATGTAAATAATATTACCTGAGTTGTCAGGAGTTTAGCTTAACGTATTAATTATCGAGAACCACATGCTAAATACACTCGAGAAGGATGATAAACAACAAGCATAATAGTAATTAGTCAAGAAATTTACATCTATAATAATCGTTTTTTATGAAACTGTAGTTAATTTACTTTTTCCTCCTGATAAGATCGTTTCCATTTTGAAGCTTCACTTTGAATAGCAAGTAAACGACGTTTGAGTTTTGTCACAGTTGTATCATTCACTTTTGCTTGTTCTTCAGCACGAACTTTAATAGTAGTTAATTCATTTTCCAACTGTGTATTACGTGTACATAAATTATCAGCTCGCTGATGTGCAGCAATTAATGCATTTTCAGCTGATGAACGTCTTTCAGACGCAGTTCGTACAGCTTTTTCATTTTGAGTTAAATTAGCATTTGCTAAGCAAAAAAATTTGGAATGGTCATGAGTTTTTTTGGAGTACAGTAATAAATGTAAAAATTCCAAGAAAGTAAATATATGGATTTTCAAATGGTAAACAATGACTCATAGAAAACTTAAATAGGAATCGTAATCCTTCAGTTATACTCGTCTGAGTTCTTCATCAGTTAAACATGACCTGGATAGCATAGTAACAATATTCACTGATAAGTATAGCCTTGAGTACCGGACAGAGAACCAGTTTTCTGGATGGTGTAGATCTACCTTATACATAAGTATCAGAAATCTTATTAGTTTAAGTTCAGATCTATCTGTTGATTGACTTCAAACAATAAAAACGAATTAAACGTCAAATATATTTTGTTAAAATGTTAGTGGTTAACACTTGCATCGAAGACATACTTCTGATTCTATTAAAACGTCGTAACCTAAATATATCTATAAATTATAGAGAATAAAGTCTTCATCACGATTTTGTAATCACCGTATTGACTCTGTGCCATAATCTAACAACACAACGATAAAAATGATGGGGATTCATTTTTTTTGTTTTAAAACCACAGTTGTTATTAAAAATGAAAGTTACTATAACACAGTTTGGGTCTTAACACCCACAAATAGAAGCTATTTAACTTGCTAACGTTTCACGTAAGATAAAAAAGAAATTAAATTCACATTCAAGTGCAGTGTTACGGAATACTGTGAGTCGAAAAAAGCAGTATTCTTCAAAAAATAATCTCAGTTGGTGCCAATGAAAACTAAGAAACACTAGAAATCAGTTTTATCCTAGTATGGGGCATGTAAGTGTTGTACTTCAACGACCCTACTGTGGATTAATCTCAGGACGTCAGGGTCTCGCAGTGAACGTTTCATCATTAGAACCATTAGAATGGTTTTGATAGTTTTGTTTGGTCTACCTGAAGTTTGTGCTGATGATGTTGTTCAGAAGAACGATGGAAGCCCCACGACCAAACCATCCAGCCCAGAGAACAAAACTTCATCAAAACCATCCACTTGAGGTAAAAAAAATCTTCTCCATCGTCCATTAGAATGGGATAACTTTAACCACAATTAATAGGAGATATAGCATAAAAACCGTTAAGTGTCGTTGATGGAAATTGTTTCCCTTCCAACATAAGTAAATTCCAACAACAACTTAGAATAATAATCTCAGGAACACCTATAAGTTGTCAGTAAGCCAATCGTTGTAATATAGTTGAATGGGTTTTGTGGCTATAAGAATAATGTTCAGGTAATATATGTTATAGTTAGCTTTGGTAGATAATTACCTTGTTCAGTTTTACATCTTAATTCGTTGTATTGTTTTGCCAAGTTCTCCGCACGGGCTGAAGTTTTTTGGACAGTTAACTTGGACTTAGCCAACTCATTGGATAGGTCACAATTAATCTGTTGAAGATGAGCAATGCGACGCATTGAGTCTTTTAATTCGTTCTTACCATTCGCAATTTCTTTATTTAACTTCTGAAAAATCAAACGATCATGTTAATGAACAATAAAACGTTCAAAAGCCAAAAATAAAATAAAATATGCTTTAAATTGATTGAGTTGAACATGAACTGATCGATAATAAAATAAATCCAAGCGTGAACTACTATCAGTTGCTAAACAAAATCACAATAAACTAATCAGCATGGTTTAACTGTTTCATCTCTCAATCCCTTCTGCTTCTCAACAAATAAGCCTAGAACACCTTAAACAACCATAAAAATAAATACTTAATTTAAACGTCGTTAGTAGATAGCTGTCTTAGATAAATTTATTTACAGTTATAAAGTAACCAAGGAGTTGACTTTATGCATTACGGTTATAAAATGTGTTGGATTGGTTGACAATTTACCATTCACTTTTAAATTATTATTGTAAAATTTGACTGTTGTGTATCAATTGTCTAAACGATACATAGAAATGATGGCGTAAGTTTTCAATCATCAAAATGCCGTTGTTAAGTATAGTTAAGAAAGCAATAAACTTGCCAGACTTATCCGATTATTGTCCAAACATATTATTTATGAGTAATCTATATTTTAATGAAAGTTTTCCGTCTCTGTTTTTTACTTATTAGCCTAGAGCTTGTTTTTTGGTTAGTGATAAGCCATCTGGAAAGAAAATGAAAACCTAAAAATTGAAAAATATAGTTCAGAGAAGAAAATAGAAACAAAGTCATTCTCCTGATCTAATAATCTTGTCTAACATCTCAGAGCAAATTATATTTGTATTATCGTATAGAACTGATCATTTTTTCTTATATGCTTATTGCTAACTATTCATTGATTATATTGCGTCGAATATCAGTTTTTAACCTTGACTTCAAGAGTATTTTTATACAATCATTAACCAAGGACGTGTTTTTACAAAGACATCTAGGAATTTTATACACGGATGAATTTTAAACGATAATACATCGAGATCTAAACCCACTTGAATTGTGAATTCCGATGTTTTAAATTTTGCAAACAAATCTTCACGGTTTTTCTCTGATTGTCTTAATATGTTATTCAGTTCTGTGATTCGACCTTCGTAGGTGTCTTGAATGGAACATATCTTTAGATAAATTTAAAAAATGGAAATGAAGTATAGGTGATGTTCGACTGAAGAAAATCCGATACGATGCCAACCATTATTGACATAATGAAGATACTGTCATTTTTATATCTAGAAAAATGACAATTCCAAGTAAAGAGAAAGCTATACTCAAGTAGGATGTAGACTAGTAATCTCAGGTTCATTGAGTTAGTATTTTGTATTCTTAAACACCGAATTATTCAAAAAAATACAACAATGATGACTTTTTAGACTGTACAAATGAGTTTTGTATTGTAAAAATAAAAGCAAGTTCTCGTCTTTTTACTCTAGTGCGCACTCAGAATAATCCACTATAGTTTAAAGATTAGTAAGCATATAACACGTATATTTCAAGTTGTATTTTTTTTAAATTTTCAAGATACAACCAAAGATACATAGAAGGCATCCACGTGAGCACTTAGTTCACTGATTGACGTAGAAACGCTATGGGTAATTAATAGTAAAACGCTAATAATAACTAAAGAGTTTTGGAAATCTTCGACCTTTTTAACAGGATAAAATTTGCTTTTCAAAATGTTTAATTTTCGTTACAACAATCACATTGGAAATATCCTTTTGATGGTTTTTAAATCAAACAGGACTCATAGTATATTTAAAACGTTATGAATGAAGCTAGTTAGTTAATACATCTGGATTAGATCAACTAAAAACGTTTATTTAACTTAAATTTCCACATTATCATTTCCCTTATGCTATAATAAGTCAGACAAATAGTGAATTGGACATCAACATTATTGACATTTTTCCCTTTGTATGGTTTCTAACAAAAAAATACAGATATACTAGATTATATAAACATAAACAAAATTAGAAAGCTTTGAAATACCATACTCAGAATATGTACTATGCGACGAAAACTTTGTACGGGGCTAACTAACCTGAAACAAATGGCATTAGGCCTATTACTGATCTGCTGACGTCTATAATAATTATGTCTTGAAAAGGTTTTACTTCATTTATTTATTCTACGCACATACGAGTAGTGAATTAAGCCAATATTGTTATAAATACCACGTGAAGGAACAACTAAATAACATACCTTGTTTTCAAGCTCTTTTTTGTCTATTATAAAGCGTTCTCTTAGTTTGGCTATGCTGGAACGTAATATTTTACTGGCTTTCTGAGCCTCTTCTGTTTCTTCATTCCTTAAGGAAATAAGTTTGTTCATTTGATATTCTGCTACTTCCACACGTTTAAAAAGTGAATTTTTTAAATCTTGAAGATATGCTTCTCTTGACTCAAGTTCCTGTAACAGCATTTCACAATTCGATTCAGCACTGAGAGAAATTTATAATATATACCAGAGAAGTAAATAGATATATTCCTACCTCATGAAAATTGTTTGATAAAAGGACAGAGTTTTAAGTTTGATACTATTATATAGGTTAAAACGAATAAATTATTTCCTTATGCTTATGTAGGATTAGTGTAATCGAATGAACAGAATGATGAAAAGATTCAAATGATCAAACCCCGGTTACGTAACTGTACCTTGCTAACTGTCAGACAAAGTTAGATTCTAAGTCTACATTTCACATGGTTAATAAATTGAGATTGATAACTAAAATACCTATATCAGTATTTACATCGATTGACTAGTAACTACTAATTCGTATTATAACTTAATTTTGCTACACACTAAATAATCCTATCTAATCAAAATAAGGCTAATTAAAACTGACTTTACTATAACTTACTGATATATATTATTTAATCAATCTAATTACAAAATATTCAGTGACTAAACTGAAGCTTTGTGGTACAGTTTTACCTGGTAAAAGGACTTTTACTAGTAAGTACGGAGTCAGGTAAGCTTATGTAAACTCTAATATCAAGCTAGACGAATTATCAAAAACTTAGTATCAACTGAAAATAAATTTCACATTCAGACAGTGTATCAACTTTTTCCTAACAATTAAAATACTGTTTAAATGTAACCCACTATGAAGTTTTTCATTGGTTTTTTAAGGCGTTGCCTACGGAATTTAATTACCAGCTCACTAAAAACAGAAGTACCTTTAGGTGTCACCAATGTCTACCAATACAAGATTTTAATCATTGTCCATAACTTGTCAACAAAACTGAGAATAATAAGAGTTTTTAAAAATTTGTAATCAATTTGTAAACAAGCTTTAAACATGAAGTTCATTAAACTTTCTAGCGTTTAACGAAAGAATAAAAGATTATAAGTAAAAAGATGTACCTCAAGAAGACATCATCTAGAAGAATTCCGAGAGGCTATGTTTAGTCCAGAATGATTGTTTAAGAACCTTTAACGTCTGATGTAAAGTAAACCATCTGTTAGTTAAAGTTACAGCATTTTGCAACATTGCAAATGAAAAATCCCTAAAACCAATTCGACGCCGTGTTTTAACAAATACTAGATAAAAGATTATTTGGAAAATTATAAGTATACACATAAAGAACCAAATTTAACAAAGGATTCGTGTGTGCGTTTATTTATTCGCAGAACAGATTCATTTCTCTGAAAGTATCCATGTTTACTAATGGTTGAACTCAAGCGTCACTGAAGAACGCGTAGGAAAGGATTCACGTGGCCTATAATAATGCTAGGATAGTACATACCGGTACTTTTACTCTAAGCTAAACAATGTCAAATACTGAATTGAAAACACGGAATTTCTTATTATTATCAAACACACTATCAGAAAAACGTACTTGGTATTAGAACTTTCGAAATCTCATCTTGTTACAGATATTACTGTTCTGTTAAGTTATACTTTTATCTCTGTATGAAGACCTTGAGGAAACGAAATTGTAAATTATGGGCAAAGCCTATCAACAAACTATTCTCACCATGTGACATCCGACAAACAAGCAGATATACAAACCTATCCAAACAATTTCAAATGTTTCCTCGATCCACTGCCACTTTTTAAACTCTTAAAAAGTAAATAAAAACTTTCCTATCCTTTTATCAGCGAACTAACATACATGGCTAAGACGCAAATGCTACTTTACGCTGAAGTCAAAACATAACTGGAAGTAACAGATAGTGGGTCTAATTTCTCTTAAGAGTGACTCAGGTGTCGTGGTTAAATGACATACAATGTCATTCATACCAACCAATCCAGCCCAGTTTGCTTCTAAAGGGATCAGATGCCCGAATGGCCTAAACTGCAGAAGTGATTAGCGTACTTGTCATTTTCCTAATTCGCAATGATGTAGATGACACAGTGAGTCAACCTCCTGTCACTTAATTGCAGTTAAAAGTTCTTTTTTAGATATGAGGGTTAAGAAGAACTTTCAAACACAGAATTTCGCTCACCACGGTTTGGTGAAAAGGCTAAAAGTGGAAACATGTTTATGGTGCAGGCCACAGTTTAATAGATCACTTGAATCCCTTCAGGAGAGTACAGAGGGCCAACATCCATACAAAGTCGATAAAGTTTGGCTTACCATAAAATAGGTGCCTTAAAAAGTAAACCTAGTAGACTAAATAATGGTATACTGGATACCACGTGATTTTAAACCTGAAGTATCTTTTTCTCCCTAACTTGGTAAGAAAAACTGATATGTAACTAAAAGCAAGTATAGGATCAAAAGAAAGAGATTTGCTATAATATACAAGATTTCTCAGTGTGCAATCAAGTCTTGTGTTTAACTGTCGGAAGAAATGGTGCTAAAACCCAAAATTAACTTACCAAAGAGGACCAAGCTCGGAAACTCATTAAAAACGAGGCAACAAAAGTCTTCACCACCTTGCTATCAAAAAGTAGATCTGAATAATATATATTACATGACAGCAATTATCAAAGCCGAATGCTTATATTTTTATCAATATATACTGGTCTTATATTTCTATACTTACACATAGAAACAACTTGGAAACAGAACCCAGCTCTAACAGAACTTTGTGCAAAAGTTTAACATTATCTCCGAAGAAAAAAATACGACATAGAAATAGCTAGATTTCTGTGGATGGACAACTTTGTTTAAAGTCCTACACAATCTGTTATGCTCACTAAAAGCAATCTTCGACATAAAGGAATGCACAAATGTATCAAAGAAACAATAAAACTGTGCACATACGCATATCGTCTTTCTTTTTCTATTATCATCGTAGCCAAATCACCATCTGAATCAAGACACTTAGCATTGACAGGGTGCGAGTAATTTATCTGTTCTTCCTTAGCATTTTTCAAGACCAAACTCGGGTCATGAAAATTGAATTGCATCATATTTTCTGGTTTAATTTCATATATCCGGACAACAGAACAACAGCACGAACAACTTGTTTACAATTTCGAATGAGGTCATTTCTATGCACTAATTCTAACAAATAGCTTAAATAGTCAGTTTAAACGTCATAATTTCATGAACAAAAATAGAAAGTTATTCTTGTTTTAAGTTTTTCGGACTGACCATATAATCAGTGCAAAGATGGTGAATTATCTCTGTACTATTGCCAAATGACTTAAAAAGACAAAGGATGAATAACTTTGATTCATCATTCACAGGATACACCATGGACCCCATAGTTTTTACTCATTCCGTATCAAATATACTTACTTTTAGTAAGATTTTATTTAGTAGAGCCGATGAAACATCACAAAAGCTAAGCAAATCATCTGGCAGACAGAACGTTCTATGATAGTCCGATGACAATTAGACAGCAATTCGGACATCTTCAAGGTCTAAGATAACCTGAAATGATTAATCAGTTCCAAGCCATAGATTGACTCACGGCACAGTGGCTGGATTTTGTCATTATTTGGTCTTACTAGTTAGCATTTGCACCAATGGGGTCCTTGTTCTATACAATTGTCAAAGTATCCACCACAAAAGAGTAGTCCACTTTGGGTTCCAAACACGAGATGCGACCTAGTTGTGAGCTAGAAGGCCACTTCATCCCTATTTACCTTGAGCAGACCATAATCATCAACACGAACCACAAACATTGTTGACATACCCTAAAGAGCATCTGTAGGATTTAATTTGTTTTACACATATACTACTAGAACCGTAAACGCGATACTGAGGAGCACAGAGTCTATGGGAAAGCTATAGTCAGAACAAAGACAACTTGGCTTTAAACTTTATCTGTTTCTAAACGTAAAAATAATTAGATTAGTGCAATAGTTAAAGGAATTACAGTCATTAAGTGAAAAGCACAAACATAACAACCAGTATTGCGCGTCATATGGTAATGAATAAAATTATGAGTCACATTATTATGACGGGATGATAACGTCTTTCATTTGGTGAGACACATGCAAAAGAGATAGTTTACAGACACATCAGACCAGATCAACGTGGTGGACGAGCCGATGAAATTCATAGTGGACAAAAATAAAATTCTCATTTCTAAACTCAAACGGCATTATAACTTATCGAGATATTGGTATACAGATTAATTATTTCAAAGGACACAAAAGTTCGTCGATAACTCAATTCGCGGTCGCGAAGATATTAAAGACGATAAGACTACGACAGAATTCTAAATAGCTTCACAAACAGTTTTGTGATTGATTAGCTACTAAAATTATCGTACCAGCCGTTAATTCCAAGCTGGGGCATGTGGATTCTGAATGGCACAAATCAAACGTTAGACACCCATCTTTTCTTGCAAGCAAATTCAAAGCAAATTTCTTTGGTAAGGAACAGACCTAGTTAAATCAGTGTTACATAACTTTACGGAATCACTTAAAAGAGTAGCAACTCTTGGTTTCACAGATGGCATTGTAGTTTATGATGACTAAACAATCAATTCTACAATACACAAAGTAAGTAAAATGGTGAGACACCAAAATATTATCAATCAGAGAAGAAAGAAGACTTTGTTGTTCAGGTAACAGCATATAATCATTTCTGAGACAAGTTAAGTTGATCAGTTCAAAAGGCAAAAGTCAGACCATGGAAATTTAAGATGGCAGCAGCTCGTGTTAAAAACTAAATAAAAACAAAACCGACCACGTCTGTGAAAATCAAGCAATCAAGTGAAACACTGAAAATAATCAGAAATTTTTCTACAACAATAAGACCGTCCTAGCCTAAAATAAAAAAATGCAACGAAAACACGACTTGAAAATTCAAAGTAACAACTCAACACATAAAGGTAAGACAAAGAATGATTATAACAGAAATTATATGGATCGAGAGCTCTTAAACTAGATACGTACGAAAGTATGAAACTATCCATAGAAAGATTTTAAAACTGCTTTAATCCGAAAGCTAATGAGATTGAAAGTGCTGCTTACATCTATAAAACGTTATTTGTATTTAAAGATAGACACTATACAACAAACAACACATTATTGCAATCAGAACACAGACATCATGGTATTTCTGAGAGAAGCAAGGAAACAAACCATAAAATATATGAAAACAATATATTTGGATGTGATCACATGCAGATCAACCTGACTCAGGAGTCCTGGTCATCGTTAGACGGTAACATTGTCTGATCAGTTCTACCAAGAAGAACTCAGAAACATAGCTATATAACTGTCTCCTAGTGTATAAAAAACGTTACATTTAAAGTAATACAAGCATTATTATTGCCTTACGGTTGTACATAACAATGCAATGTAATAAATAAAGCGAGATAATTTAATAGTCTCACAAGAAGTCAACATGGAAGGGTTTTACCACATGCTCACACAAAGATATCTAAATTGCTTACATGATTGTATGTGTCACAACGCTGTTTGATATAAGCGGACAGTAAAGCGAATAATGTTAGCTTTCCGAAGACTCCACTTTCAGGCAATCGATGGGGACATTTGCGCTTTCTCTGCTCATGTAAAAAACTATGATCTTCCAAGAAGTGTGTAACACAACTCAACTTTAGATGGATAAAGACTTCAGTTAAATGTGATCGGGATGATACAGGCACAGCTGAATGAATGATACTTGTAATCCGCGTTAAATTCCACATTCGGCGACCAAGATCAGGAAAATCACTGAACAATTAGTTTGACGTTTGATAAAACACCTGACTAAGAACACCTGTGTAAATTTATGAAAACCATTCTTCTAGTATGGTGTTTTAAGTTCTAACGGTTGTCGTGCTTATATACATACACTTCTTATCCCTCACAGGAGATCGACAATTAATTTTCTACCAACTCTGTCATGAGCCTGTAGAATTATGGTCTACTATGATATTAGTACTGCTCCAATAATAGACCTAATCCTAAAATTGTAGATTTGTCAAGGTGAAACTGCCTAATCTACAAGATCTTACGTGGAAGTCACATCTTCGTCTACACCAACTCACTGTATCGCAACAACTACCAATACATGATGAAGAACAAGCTTAGGCTAGAGAAAGAACAATATATTTAATACGAATAAAAGATCTAAGGTAACATTCAGCAGGAACCACGCCTGCATGGCCGAGCCATGCCATTAGATCAACTCCAATTCATTCAATTAATTGTTCCCGCCTTTTCCATCGTTAATAAATTCTCCGCGTTAAATATTGAATATTTATTTTTTGAGCAGTCTTGTGTTCAGCTTTGAAGATTGTGTGGTTATGGTCCAATGCCACTACGCGCCCTCCATTTTCGTTGTTCCAATGTACTATTGTGTAGTTGACATCTGACTCTAATTCCCGAAGCCATATGCATTTCGGTCTGTCTGATACGTAACGACTTGGGAGTCATCGTTAGCCAAGACCATAAAACATCTGCTTTTTACTACGCGATAGCTGTTAAATGTTCCACAACCCTACGGTCAATACTGCTCCGTTTGGTCTAACTGGAGATACGAAGAGCTAGTTCATAGACAGACATTTAAGAAACGTAAAAACATGACAATTCTTACAAAGTAAAGAGACAAAATAACCAGTTATACCAATTGTTCCCAAATCATTCATTTTACGGATGTTTGAAGTGGTTATCCTTTTTGTATGACACAGGATAGCAAAAGTCTACTGTATAGTGATCTACAGAGTATCCTTGGTAATTCTTGGTTATTTCCGTCTGTGTAAATTTCTACAACCATAAATCGCAAACTAAAACATTTCCTGAGCTGACAGTCCGTAATCATGGAACAATGCGCAGAAGTGATTTATGCAAATGGGAAACGTTTCTTTTATCTGTTCATCAAGTCATTTTAAATTTCCAATATTTATAGCCCGCCTTATAGTTGCAACTTTGTTTGTATACGTAAATTAGGAATCAGAGACCTTCAGTCTACTAAGCGCTTATATTAAGCTGTTTTCGACGCTAGTTCTTTGTACAGGTGTGTCAGTAAGTTGGTGTTCAGATGATAGACCACCTGCTCCAATATGTTTCTCGGTTTTGGGGATCATAGGTTAATACCTTTTCGTTACTTGCAACGCAAGTCATGTGTAGGGTTAGGAAATAACTGTGCGCGTTATGTTCTGACGTCACATATCTGTCCCCCGGACCTTTAAATTCATTGAAATGAAAGCTGTTCTTTCAAAAATAAAATTCCAATTTTACGCTGATTCTTCGCTGTCGCATGTTTCATGGTGTTGAAATAATGCAGCTCCACATTGGAAAAATAAGTATACTCGATGTATTCGTTTGAAAATGGAAACATGAGAGCCTCTGTTAAATATGAACTCTAGTTTTTAGGTTCTCGAATAAATACATCAGCAGTCTTTGAGTGCTCTCAATGGGCCATACTAGTTATTTATTCATCATTTTCTGGATCGAAGGGTTACGGTGGTACTAGAATATCTGTGATAACACCGGTCAAATTCGATATATTAAGTCGTCTTCAAATTAAAAGTGACTGAATATACTGCCCACAAGCAAACTTGTCACTGAGATACAGTGAAGGTAATTAGACATATTGGCCAGCACATATATATGTGTATTGGATGTCTTAATTGTCGCAACCATTTCCTCAGTTGTCATGTATTTATCAACATTACGTGAGTCTGGACATCAGAAACTTTTTACTGCACCATCAAGTTAGATTAGTTAGTTTCATTCAATAACCTTTCTGAATTTGTTATGGTGTTGTTGCAAATAAGCATCAACAAACATTCACAACTTAGTATAATAGTGTTCCCTGGTACTTAAGGTAGTGATTTATAATGGTAGTTCCGAAGTTCTTATCCATTCGCTTAAAATGTTTGGTAGCAGGTTTGTTTTACAAACATCATAAACTGTTCTTATTTTCCTCTAAACTACAATCGCTTCCTTTATTTCATAACATTGCAACATTATTGTCTTATGCCTTTTCTACGTGATATCACATGTGTGCCACATGATACACCGGTAGTATATCTTCGTACACTGTGTATTATAAATTAATTTTTACCCACCAAGCCTTCGTTAATCATAATGTAATTGCTGATGAATCCTATGCATATTTCAAACAAATCACTCAAGTAAGCATTGAGTCGTGATATTCTTTGTGAATGTATATTCGTAAATTTGCTTATACTGTAGTTCTCTCAACGAAAACCTGACATGCTAAATTCGGAATCTCCTATTGCATAGAAGTAACTTATGTTAAAACCAATTAATTTAAAACAACAAACCACTGATAGTACCCTCCTTTGCCCGGACTTGGGACCTGTAGTAACTCGGGGGTTGTGAGTAGCTGATAAAATTCAAAAGCAACCATTAATTGCATCAGTGTAAGTTTATGGGATAAATAAATTGTGCACGTAATTTTAAAGTAATGATTTACTATTGTGTTGCATTCAATTATATGTCAGTGGAAATGTTCTGAATAGTAGTCGTGATTCTTTTGTTTTTCCTCAGTCAAGTAACTGTCGTCTATCCATGAGGTTCAATGTAATTTTGTTAAAAGTGAAACGGTGAAAATAATTTTAAAAAACCATGTCAACCGCAAGTTCACATCCGTATAGTAATCTCAGTTTAACGACCGATCCCCTTGCTACATTAATGAAGCCTGATATTATTTCAATGTCAAAAAATAGTCAAGTTATAAACTGTGGCGGTGGTGATTTGACATCATCATCTTCTACCACATCATTAAATCGTACAAATCCCTCCATAAATTCATTGAATGTTAGTAGTCATACATTGGATAAAGTGAAAGTTGCAAAAGTTACATTGGAATATTACTACGACAATTTAATTGTTCAATATCGAGAACGTCAAAATAGGTGAGTTCGTTTTAGGGTAGTATTTGAAAGTAAATTCATACATTGTAACAATCAGTTAAGTAGATTTACTACTCAATGGTCCATTTTTTCATTTTTCATTCACTTGATCAATAGTTTAAACGCCATTCCACATTGTGTTGAAGCGATTATGAAGAATTACAAGCCACCATAGAATAAGTGTAACGTTTAGCCTAAAATATCAACTTACATGTAATTAATAAATTTGATTATGCATCTGCTATGAATCCGGATGTTATGCGTAGATAAATGAGATAATAGAAATAACTATTCCATTACAATAGTTATATGAGTACATGTAATTTTGTTTCTAAGGTATTAATTTTATACATAGGGGTGTTAATATAGTGCCTGTTTAATTCCCTAAATTAGTGAACTTCGAAAAAGTATACTGAATGTTACCATCATTATGCTGTCATAATTAAGCTGGTCTTAGGCTTATCTAGATGAAATGTATGTTCACTTTACAGTTAAGGCTTATGGACTTTAGTTCCTGAGTCTAAAACCCTGTAAGATTGATATATTCACACTGGTTGATCATAAACTAGTTACTGATATCATGTTCCTAACGATCTGGGCGCATGGACTATGCTCAGCATGACACTCAGCATTTGATTTGTTATAACTAAGTATTTTTTTTGTGTATGTGATTTCATCCTAATTATTAATGAAAATAAGTGTACAAATCGATATATGAATGAGTATATTTTTGACTACGGTCGTCGTCGTGTTTTAGGGTTAATAAATTTTCACTTGTACCAGTCTTTGTGTTCTTACTTTCTCGTCGTGGGAATTGTACTGGTTCCATGTTTTACAGGCATAAATGACAAGCGATTCCGACGTAATTCGCAACGACTAGATATAGCACTTAGTGTACTTTGATGTTATATTGTTATTCATCATTGTACTGACAAACCGTTATCCTAAAGATGTTCACATAAAGCGTTTAAGGTCTAAAAGGAGTAAAATCTTGTTTTGTGTGGAAAATCTACTCTACTGAATCTGTCGGTTGTCTATTGTGTCTGTTGGTCACTAAGATGTAGAAACACTATTGAAGTAATTTCTTGTGGTAAAAAATAAAATGTTGTTACGGTCCAAGATGTTTTATCCTATGAGAATGATCTATGCTTTGTATATCTTTAAAAACCGAATCCCTTTAACCCACCTCTAAAGACTCCAGTCATGTACATATGAATCTTCTGACTGCTATTTAAATTTCAATGTGACCAAATTACATAGGCCTGTGTAACTTGTTTACATTTGGATTATATAACGCTCCCTTATGTCTCTAAAATCACTTGGAGAAGGCTGACATTCTTAAACGTTAAATGCTATGGAATATTAAGTGCTTATGTTTAATTAATTAGCTAATATGAAACGAGGAAGAGCATCTGGTTCAGATGGATTGGATCCAGAGGTCTTTAAGGATGGTGGTCCAGTTTTAGCGATTAGGTTGACTAAAATCTGCGAGTTTGATGTAATCCCATCTTACTGGTTGTCCTTATTTGTAAGAAGGGGTCAAAGTCATCCTCTGATAACCATAGAGGGATTAGTTTGACTAATATAGCATCTAAGGTACTAACTTCAATAATTATTGGACGCCTAACAAAGACTCGTGAACTGCAAACACAAGAAAATCAGGCTGGCCCCACACTTGGTCGTGACTGTATCGACCATATATTCACCATTCGTCAGGTCCTAGAACATAGGCATACTTATCGGCGTCCGACAATGGTGGTCTTTCTTGACTTAAAAGTTGCATTTGAATCTGCAGACCGCGAGATTCTGTGGCAGTGTCTGTCATTGAAAGGCGTACCTCAGAAGTACATAAACCTTGTGAAGGCTCTTTACTCGAACACTACTAGTCGAGTGAGAGCTTATGGCGAACCGTCATCTGCTGTTGCAACCTCAAGTGGTGTCCGTCAAGGCTGTCCACTTTCCCCATTTTTGTTTAACTTCATCATAGATCTATTGATGGAAATAACATTCTCATCGACTGAATTCTCGGGTATTGATCTCCTTCCAGGAGGTCCACTTATCGGCCTAGAATACGCAGATGACAGTCCTGTTTGGTGAAGACGCTGATAAAATGCAGAGTCTTCTGGTAGCACTGAGCAACAATGCCAGGATGTTTGGAATGCGCTTCTCTCCCTCTAAATGCAAGTTGTTGCTTCAGGACTGGTCTGCGTCAACACCTGAACTAAGGATAGTAAGTGAAGTAGTCGAACGCGTTGACAACTTCACTTATCTTCAAAGTCTGGTCAACCCTAATGGGTTGTTGTCTGACGAAATCTCAGCACTCATTCGAAATGCTCGCTTGGCTTTTGCCAACTTACGTCACCTATGGCAAAGGCGAGATATCCGTCTATCAATAAAGGGACGAGTATACTGCACGGCAGTTCGTTCTGTTTTACTTTACGGCTGCGAAACATGGCCATTAAGAGTAGAAGGTACTCGTAAGCTACAAGTATTTGACCACAGATGCCTTAGAAATATTGCTGGTGTCTGCTGGGATCACCGGGTAAGTTATAGTGAGGTTAGACGCAGGGTATTAGGGAATGATGGTAAATCAGTTGATGAGGTTGTGAATCTTCATCGACTGAGATGGTTGGGCCACGTGTTACGTATGCCTGAACACCGATTACCACGACGTGCAATGCTAACCGGTGTTGAGAATGGTTGGAAGAAGGTTAGGGGTAGCCAAACCAAAGCGTGGCATCAGTGCTTAAAGTCACTAACTTGTAGTCTGAGCCATGTTGGTAGATGCAGACTACTTGGTTGCGGTCCGTGTGACTATCGTAACCAATTGTTGGAGACTGGGTGATATGGCTCAGAATCGATCACAGTGGCGGTGTATACACTCTTTGTTTTCTCTTAAGCCGTGAGGTTACAGTTAATATATACCTTTCTTTCTACGAACTAATTACTTCTTGTATCATATGTATTCAGTCTGTTTTTATATATTATTACTATTGGAGTAACCACTTCTATGAATTTGGTGTTCGTTTTATTGTGCTAATGAGGTGTGGCAACTTGGACTGATGCATATATGTGCCTGGTCTTACGTTGTAGCTGACTGACTTAATTAACCGACATATCCTCATCAGTACTAAATGTTCCTCTAGTAATTTTGTTACATGTCAGCCAATGGTCTCTAAATTTGGTTTTGTTTTCCGCTTAAAATCTGGTCATTAAGTGTTTTTATCAACATATCCTTTTGTAAATTTAGAACAACATATATAAGCGAACAATATTGTTTTCGATTATATCCTCATCAGGCTTTACTCTACTATACAGTAATATTTATATGCATATACGAAATTATTAAACCAATCAAGGTAGTTTATAAGTCAATGATCCTTTTGTGATTTTCTATCACTTTAATCATGACAACTATGGATTCAGTTTTTACTTCCGCATTGTGTCCTCATTTCATCCAACACATATTTCTGCCCCTACTCATACTGTTCCAAAGGTTCACTGTCTTAGACAGATACAAATCTGTGTAACAAATGCTAATGATCGATATCACTGTCTCATAAATTAAAGATTCAGATACTTGTCAATGAGCCATAATTTCTTTGTGAACACTAATGATACTATCCTAATGTCTATTTTCTTTCGTAAGTGAAATGAGATTAGAACTACCAACCCGGTAGGCGGTTAATACAACTGGTTTTCATGTTAGTGTAATATTTATCATGGAAAATGCCATTTTCTGCTCTCAATACAATACTGTTAGTATTTCTTTTTTATTCATTATTTCTTACTGACAGGTACAAAATTTTAGAGTCAATGATGGAAAGTGAAGGCTTAACAGAAGAACAAGTAGGCATTTATTGTTTTATAAAATTCTTATTATATACCAGCATTTACCGATAACAAAGCTTTATTTTTTAACTGATAAAATATGAGGTTTCATCAAAAGAACAAAATATTCTACCTGCTGCGTTCTATATGGCATTCTATAGTTTGTTTTCAAATACGTATCAACCTGTTCTTGATTTCATCTACAATTTTAGCCCAATACTTTAAATGATCATATTTGTTTCAATACATATATGTGTTGATTGTAGTTTGTTATGATTATAACTTAGTACTATATATAGATCTTCATTTAACAGTCTCGAATGATCACTAGCATAACTTTCATCTGGGATCTTTTAAAAATTCATATATTTGAAGATGATACCTTGTGTGTTGTCCTTCAATTGGTTTTCCCTTCGTTTTTATTTTATCAGACTTGACCAGTTCGCTGATTTTCGATTGTATATGAAATATCTACTGGTTTAGCAGTCAAACATTTTATCTCTCCAAACGAGATTTCATTTAACTCACGTTAATAATTTTAAATTAAGAAAACAAGAGTTATCATGTTCAATCAAACTGGAATCAATGTTACTTATTTATTAACAATGAATTTCACTTTAAAGATGATAAATCTGTGCACACTTGTAGTTTCTGTCTACGATGAACCTACATAACGCTAGCAGCATATAAATTAAATCTGTGACCCTTAATTTTGATTACTGATCGTATAAAAGTTTCAATGGAATAATGGTTTACCAATTTAATTCCTTAAATTTCGACGACTGGTTTGTGGATTGAACTCGAACTCCACCTACAATCTTGTTTAGGAAGCTAGACAGTACTGTTATTAGCACTACTATAAAAAGCGTGCCTCAAAAATAAGCTCTAGAAGCTGTGATCGGTTATTGAGTTTCATTAATTCAGTCGAATGTATTTATATTTTTCTAAAATTTTATCGCATCACCTATGGTATCCTGTTCCGGATAAATATTATATTTCAACAATTGTTTTTATTATCAAATATAGTTGCTTGAAAAATTACCTGGAACCATATATATGCAGTTAAACAACCCAGTATATCTTTATCGTTATTCCTACTTTGTTTTCATACAGAAAAAATTCAAGATATCTATCAAAGAAGAAGTTGTGCTCACATGTTTTTGTATTTGTGTTTATTAGTAAACAACCAAATGGCCTAACATAATCACAAAATGTAGACATTTTTGTGTTCGTCTGAATAAAAATTGATATAACAATCTACACAATTTATATTGATTCATAGTTTAATCCACAGAGTATTTATTAACTAAATCAATGAGAATATTCATTACGGTTGGGTAAATTAGAATGTTGAGCATAGCACATTATTGAATTTTAAACGAAATAAGAGGAATAATATATGAGTTCAGAATAATTATAGACAGAAGATTAATGAAATCCGTCATGTATAAACAGTTTCCAACTGTCATAATCTGTATTATGATATGTTTTGAAGTATTAGTTGTAATGTAACCTACAAGTCACTTCGTTTTGATGAACCTGTGAAATCTCGGGCAAGCATTAAACCTGATAGTTAAATCTTGATTTTGTTGGCACTGTAGGAACTCACGAAATTCATATGTTTTAATTCTTTATCTTTTAACTAACTTTTAATCATCATTTTTGTATTCGATACTGAGTAAGTGTGCTCGTTAGTCTTTTGTAATCAAGTATCTTTGCTTCCTTCTGATATCTGTCCATTTAGAACCTGATATATTAAGATGATTGTACCTATTAATTCATTTCAACTAGTTGAAAGTAACTATTTGTTAATTTGCTTCTCTGTCAGCTTTTCTCGAAGTTCTTAGTTGTTTGTACCTGCAAACATTTCTGTTTAGTTATTTTCTGGGTTGCATAAAGAACATGAAATAATGATAACAAATATGTTACATATCGTATTAACATAGCTCCTAAGTTTGACGGCAAGATGAAGATGTAGGGTAGAGAAACGAAAACTGTGAGGTAGGTTGTTCGAGGTGTATAACCTCCATGCGTCGTTACATTTGTCTGACCGTAAAACCTTTCAATAATCACAACTCTTCCCTGATCCTGGGACATGATCTTTCAAGGCTTAGAATGTTCAACAGTTATCTTTGTTCAAATATTACTGCACTGGACTTAAGATTTGTGTTATTCATGCCATATAAGCTACCGTGTGACCTAAAAATTCGAGTAGGATTGATCTAGTCTTTAAACATTAGTTTCCGGTTACTTTGTATGGATGTGCTGATACATTACGACGTAATTTCACGGAATGATGTAACGAGTTTATGTCTGTCAATTTTCCTAAGTGGAATTCGGGAAATCTTGATACTCATATCAATTCGGACATAAATCCTAATTGAAGTCAGTGTTAATCATTCCGTAGTTTTTTTTTCATCGTGAATAATCACTATCAACTGAGATTAAATTCATCTTACATGTCTGACTCCTCATTCATATAGTGGTGTAGGAACGTGAACCGATAGAAATATATACAAAGTTCTACGTTGCAAACAACTGCCTGTCTGTCTTATGTTATTATTTCCCTCGCGCCTCACATTTATTTTCCTAGTATCATTCTATCACTTCCTTGCACATATCTTTTAGTGCTATATGATTAACGTAAAATTGAATGACATATATTTGTCTGTATAAATATTTATTCTTCTGTATTAGACAGTTAAGTTTTATCAATTATTCCCAATTCGAAAAAATTTGTATTATGCTCACTTTAGAGTTACATATGTTGTTTTTTTTTACTTAACTATATTGGTATCGTTTATGTTGATTGGTTGTCCCCGTCAATAAACTCGGCATTTTTTAGGTTGTTTGTGGATTATTATTTTTACCTAGTTCAAAAGTACACCATTATATAGGTTTGTTTTTATAAACACCAGTTCACACTACTTGATATACTACTACTAGCGTATAAAAATGTGTGCTTACAACTTCTGTTTACTGTAAAGTGGTGGTTGACGGTAGTCGACAGGGAACCCCAGACATAGGTTTCGTGGAATCTGACCCTCATCAGTAATGTGTACCTGTAATGTTGAAGTGTTAGCGGGACATAGACTAGACTAAAGCATGCTCAATGCATGATTGCTTTGGTGCACGCTGATTGGCTAATTCTTATCCAATCAGCGCTAGTCGATAATTGGAGAATATTCTGGATTCTTCTTATGTAAAAACTATAAATATACCGACGTTTTCCCCTATTGTGCTTCCTACTGGCTTCTGACTTGCTATTTGGAATATAATCTTTTTCCTGTTCAACCGTGTTCTGATTTGGGGACTTGTCGAGTGAATCGGTGTCCGAGAATACTAAGCAATAGGAATAGCTGGGTCATTAACCGTAAGAAAACAGAGATCATAACAGTGGCGACGGGAAAAAAACTAAAGAAAAATGGCGATTTCTTTAAAACAGTTGCGGTTAATATTACAGCACCAGCAGAAGTTGTTAGCCTTGCAACAACAACTATTGAACACACTTTTCACTCGACCAGAAAATAAGAAATCTGTTTATGATGCAGTAACAGACATTTCAGAAGCATATCTAGTGGAGGGTTCAAATCCCTTTATACCTGAATCAGAACGTAATATTTGTAACGTGTCCGGCTCACAGCAAGAAAATACTGTGCTGAATGCACATGAAGTTGTGACAATACCAGATGATCAGGAGCCAGGTCCTGTAGATGAAGCCCGGAGTCCAGAATCAAATGAAACACTACTGGTACTGTCTAGCTGCGAAAATAAACGTCAGCTCGAACAAAATTGTGGTCCACGTGCTATTAGTCGAGAAAGCTATGGTGACTCGTATTCAAAAAATAACTGGAGCAACACGATGAACCAAATAGTACCAGATGTTACTCAAAATCACCGGAAGACAGAATTTTATATTGAGTCAACTTATCCCATTTCTAATGACAGTGTACCAGATATTGATTCTCAGAATAATGCATATGATTTTGATGAACCTTCTTATAACAATGAGGGAAATATGTCAGCTGAGTCGAATGATGGCCAAAAATCTAATCTAATTCTGTTAGACGTTGACTTTCTTAATGACTCGTTATCAGCTAACGAGATTCATAATGAATTTGAAAATAATGAACTCAGATCAAAGGTTGTTCATCATCATCTAGTCATTTTTAGTGGATTCTCCAGTCAATACGAGAAACATGGTTTAAATAAAGTCCTACTAGTTATAATTTGGAGCCATAAGGACCCAACATTATTTCGAGGAGGAGGAGAATGTTGGAGAATTAAAAGTTATGCATACTTTTTTTAAGAAAAATCAAAACGCCGGGAACAGACATGTCAGTCTCTGTGCAAGGAAAAAGTGAGAATTCTTCATTGTCTAGACGATGGACTAATCGAAAGCACAAGCCAGTCACTCAGTTGCAGTTGGACCCTAGCACCAGATCCTACGAATCTGCTCAGAGGGGAGGTGTTAGCGGGACATAGACTAGACTAAAGCATGCTCAATGCATGATTGCTTTGGTGCACGCTGATTGGCTAATTCTTATCCAATCAGCGCTAGTCGATAATTGGAGAATATTCTGGATTCTTCTTATGTAAAAACTATAAATATACCGACGTTTTCCCCTATTGTGCTTCCTACTGGCTTCTGACTTGCTATTTGGAATATAATCTTTTCCCTGTTCAACCGTGTTCTGATTTGGGGACTTGTCGAGTGAATCGGTGTCCGAGAATACTAAGCAATAGGAATAGCTGGGTCATTAACCGTAAGAAAACAGAGTTATAACATGAAGGAACTGATGTCCCCTGATGTATACAGTCCTACGTAACCCAGCTTCACAATCTGAGATGCTACCACTGAGCTATCTGGGATGCGACTGACCTCCTGTAAGATTATGATGTATTTACAATTGATTGATGTCGAGTCACATAGAAGTGACCATATTGCATCTTGGTTTATGGAATTCAACCTCCACGAAGAAGGACCTGACACACATGGCATTGGTCACTACCCACCGTTCGACCAATTGTAAATGGTTTCGCTATGCTAGGCTTGACTCTTCACAATTGTATTTGTTACAGCAGAGGCCATAATCTATAGAAATATCATGAAGTCCCAGCAATAATAATGAGCCACTAAAACAAAATAAGATGATCAGAATTTTGTAATTCATATTATCAACCTTATGGGTTTCTCATAACCGTAAACATAAATCTCATTTTTTTCTCGATTTGGTAATGTCTCTATGTAAATTTGTTATTTCCGTACAAACATGTTTCTCTATCAAATGATTTATATAGATTATAGTAAATCCATTTTTTATTTACTTTGAAAAATATGAAACAAAATAAAAACTAGGTAGGAAAAAGTCATCTTATATTGGTTGTTTGAATCGTCACATCGACGTTCAGGACTTTAATTGATCAATTTCTTATTGGCATATGTGCATCCCGTGTAGATCGTCTCGAAATTGTCTTAAGTCACAAGCATTATAAGTACAGGTTGCACAGGATGCGCATATGACAATAAGAGACCGATCAATTTTAGTTATAAACATCAATAAGAATATTCGAATAACCAATACAAGATTAGTTAAACTTCACCCCATCGCACAAGCCTGTGGCTATGTATATTCCGTAACTAAGTAATTAATGTGATGGCAATATCTGAAGAGTAGTATGCTTTTCATTAAATCTGGCGTGCAGTATTAATTTATGAAACATTATAGTTAGGGAGCATGTGAGTGTATGGAGCTAGTAGAAATGACCGATGTATTTTGTTTTAAGGTATTGCTAGATTAATGTAGATTGGTTGTGATCGTTATGATACAACTAGCAATATGAACAACACGTATATCATTTAGTTACCCACATCTGTACTGAATCTAATCATATAAATGGTGAATTGTAGTTTTAATACTGCAGCACCAGCGTCCCTCAACCATGTATCGAATAATTGGATAGAAATCATGAATTTCCTATAGTTTTAAAGTTCACTTTGAAATAACACAAATTCTCACTTAAAAAGTTTAAATAGCAATCTACGAAAAGAAAATACTTTGTTCATATTGATATTCTGTATACATCAACAAGTTTTGAGTCATTTATCATGTCGTCGAAATTTTTGTTACAACCCATCTATTCCAACTGAATCTTATAATATTTCAAACCTTTTTTTTTAAAAATTTGGCTCAAGTTACTTAATATAATCAAATAAAGTCTAAATTTACCGAATACACTAGTCGAATCCTAGAAATTAGAAATCGTTTTTTTTTGCTAGGTAAGAGATATGTATGTTTGATAATTAAACATTTTAATATATTTTCTTTTTGATAGTTTCTTATCTTGTACCACAATCGAATAAACAATACAGTGAATAAGTAAGGAAGTCAGTTAAATGAAGTAAATAAACAAAACTACAGTGTTTATAGAGGAACTATATTTTCTTTGGAATTGTCAAGATAATTTCTTAATTTGTTTTAACAAGCATCAATTATCTGACTACACTGTTTCAACTCTATCATATCAATAATTAGTAAATAAATAAACGAACTGGATGGAATTTTATCTTTTCTCGTTGTTTAAAATAGTTGTTGCTTCTTGTTTTGCATGTCAATAACATTTGTTGTGTTTACAATGTTTTCTAGAAACAAATCAAACGTACACAACATGCTCTCAAAGAAAGTGAATTTCTCCGACTTAAACGAGCACGGCTCACAGTTGATGATTTTCTACCTCTTAAAATAATTGGTAAAGGAGCATTTGGTGAAGTAAGTTTTTTTTGCATGTGATTCCTTCTTTATGTGTGTGTATTTATATGAATATACAAATTCCTTTTATCCAGTTGACTAATGATGTGGGAAGCGGTTTGAAATCTTAAAATTCTACTACATTCGGAAGCATTTAGTATAACGTTTGATGTAAGAAAAATACATGAGTGGCGTTTATGATAACATATGGTTAAGCTGATGCTACTTTTGCTGATATAAGTAGTTGTTGTTGTATGCTTCCCCTTGAATCCAACATCGTCGTTGGAAATATAGTTCTTTCTTTGTTAGAATTTATCGCCGACCAAAAATGAAAAAGTCCGTTACTTATTCGACTTTCATCAGTACTTTTTATAATTCATTAGAAAATGAAAACAGGAATCATAATAATTCATTTTTGCATTGATCGTTTGTATTTTCCCATTGACGTTCAGGACTGCAATTGGTCAGTCTCTCATTGGTATATATGCATCCTGTGCGTATTGCCTCGATATTGCTTTAGGTCATAAACGTTATATGCAGAGATGGATAGCGGCTGTCAGTGGAATCCACAACGCGCGTTTCGTCCTGCTTGGGACTCGTTAGCTGGATATACCTGTACCAGCTTGTGAGTCCCAAATAGGACGAAACGCGCGTTCTGGATTCCACTGCTAGCCACCATTCATATTTTCTTATGATTATTAATAATAATACTCATAATTAATGGATGAGAATTTTTATCAATTGTAGTCTAATGATAAATATATTTCTAAATTATAAAATACTAAACTACAATTTAACATTTTCAGTTGTCAGAATGAGTTTTGTGGAGATTTTAGGAAATTTCACAGGTTGAAATCATGAGTCAGTTGAAGCTAGACCACCATTGAAAACCTGGAAGCACTGGGCGGCCGTTTCGTCCTAGTATGGGACTCCTCAGCAGTGCGCATCCACGAACCCGCCCCCCGCGGGACTCGAACCCAGGACCAACAGGCTTCGCGCGCGAGCACTTAACCGCTAGACCACTGAGCTGGCCGGCATCCAACGGTGTTAATGTCTAACTTCAACACCGTTGGATGCCGGCCAGCTCAGTGGTCTAGCGGTTAAGTGCTCGCGCGCGAAGCCAGTAGGTCCTGGGTTCGAGTCCCGCGGGGGGCGGGTTCGTGGATGCGCACTGCTGAGGAGTCCCATACTAGGACGAAACGGCCGCCCAGTGCTTCCAGGTTTTCAATGGTGGTCTAGCTTCAACTGACTCATGATTTCAACCTGTGAAATTTTCAGTTGTGTTTACGTAAATGTTTACCTTTTCCTCCTCTTTTTATTTTTTTTGTCTTAATTGTGAATTGATTAATTTCATTGAAATGTTGAGTAGTTAAGAAATCGATTTGTTTATTTTATGTAACCTGTTTTATGACAAGATCGTGTATGTTTGTTGTTGTATGAGTTAATTTATGTGCGTGTATATGTTTATCAGGTTGGGAAACATTACTGAAAAAAGAGTATAGAATACACAATAGGTTTATGAATTCTTTTAAATGATTAGAAAGGTCATTCACTCATCAAATAATAAATTTCTTTACTTATTTTCTACACATAAGATGACAATGATATCATATATTGTTTGTTGCTTTCTAAAGTATACATTCTATTTTTCTGTGTGTTTTGGTCAACATTTTTTACGAATAATGATTTATTGATATCAGTATTAAAATTCATGATTCATACTTAGTCTTATTATGTAATCACTAATTGTTAGACTTAACCACATTGGTAGGTACAGAGATCTAGATTAGAACCCCTTTGGAATAATCTTAACTTCTATGTTTTGTAATGTTAAATAATGTGACCTAGAATTAATCAAAATAATACAATTATGTTCATTCCTAATGTTTTAAAACTTGGTATTAGGATCATTCTATATATTTGAATGAATATCAAGAATAGAAACATCTTTACCCCGCTGAAGTTTATGGAAATATTGATTGTGTATTGACTATACCATCCGCATTTAAACCATTGAATTCTATGTTTAATTTCCACTCAAGATGACTCTTCGGATTCGTAAATAAATTTTTCCAGCTTAGTCAATTTTTCTGTTCAAATTTGTAACCACTGTTTTGATTATGTAAGACAAGCACCTCAGGTTACCGATTTAGTAGACTCATTGATTAATTGTCCTAGATGTGTTCATCAATTCAAATCACAATCTCAGTCGACGAAAATAATCCAAAACCTCTCTCATCAATAGTTCATTTTGATTTATAAGGGTTATTTGACTAATATAGACTTAAAATGATAACGTATATTTTCTTATACTTTTCTAACATAAAAGAATGAAACTAGGGCAAAGTAAAGAATGTAAATTTCAAAACTGTTCATTATTTTTATAGATCGAAATTTTCAAGTAAATAATTCATTTATTCTAGCACTTTAATTCTGCTTCGAGAAGTGGTCGCATGTTTTTAACCTGGATTTTCGATGTAAAGTATTAATTTCGAGCTAATAACCTTTAGGGAAATGTTGCTTTTACATCTTTGGAAAAAGACTAAATAATACTCATTTATATACTCTATTGTTTTTCGTTGTTGCGTTTAACGATCTTCATGAGAAGAAATAAAATGTGAAGATTCAACAACTCGTTTTCAGATTTTATGGAAAAATATTCCTTCAATTTTGAAATATCGCAAGATTTCCAATCAATTTGCTCTTTTTTCAAAAAGAACAATTATTCTCTGGTGATTAAGTCAGTTAGGTAACATAGTATTCTGTCTTGATAATTCATTTCACTATGGTTTTGCTTTGTTATCACCTCGTCTTTGTCAGCTACAATTAGATTACAAGCCTACGCAAAATCTGGAAGGTTTTTATTTTTAAATAGATATTTTCCACATCCGACCATAATATTAGATTGGATATTGGGTCTACAAACATTTATACCTAAGGAGGTTAATCAATAAAAACTAATTCTGAACAATACAATCCGTTACATATTCAAACAGGTAACACTGGAGTGGATTGTAGTTCTCGTCCACCTGTAATAAAGCCACATTGTAATGATTAACCGAAAGAGCATATCCTTACTCCCAGTTTAACTTACAATAATGTTAATAATATATGTACCCCCTTCGTATTACCTTTCCCATAACCCCGCGTTATATGGTAAACATTCCAGCTATTTGGTTAAAAGTTATACCTTTGATTGAAACTTCGTGTGTAAAATACCGTTGATATTGCCGAAGCAGATTAATGGACAAAATTTATAAAGTTTTGATTACTATTGATGATAGTTATAATCTACGACACTTGAATCCATCTAAATCAATCTTAAGTGATGACTAATTTTATTGTTTTTTTCTTTCTATATTTTGGATTCTCTATCTTTTATCAAGAAATCTAGTTTTTTTTTTGTATCTCGTATATACATTATAGTATGCGAATACATTATTATATGTATGTGTGCATGTGTACATAGGAAAATACCTATGAGCCTAGATACACTCAGATACTTTTACAAATCTTGATAAATAATTTAATTAGATTTTATAATTCAAAAATAGGATGATTCATCAAACACTTGTTTTATGGACCCTTTGTGTATCTATGTGTTTTAATTTAGTTATTTATTTGTCTGTTTGACAATTCTCTTGAAATAAAATGTACAAAATATTTGTTGAATACATTTAGACTAAATTTTTGGATGACATTCAAACAAGACGAAAATATTATCGTATTTCTTCATGGTTAATTCTTTACTCGAATGATCATTTTATTTAGGTTAGATATAACTAAATTACGCTAAACTGTATACACATGAAAAGATAATGAAATATGTGTTATATTGAATAATCTCAGACTACATAAACTGTAAATGTCATGTTTACATGTTGATTCATCGGTAGTTTTGTAATTACAATTTTTCGTTTGTTTCTTCATTACAATAAAGTGATTGGGTTGATTTCGATACAAAAATCAATTGCGTATATATTAGAATACTACAATTGAGCTCGGTGATTTAAAAAATGGATAATATTTTTAGCATGTTAAATTCCAGTATCCTTTGGAATACTTAACGTTGTGGAATATAAAAGAGTAAATAAATCGGAAGGATTTTGATGGAAGTGGTGGACCTTTAAACATATGTTCCGTAAGGAACTGTTGACATTGGCGAGTAAAAAGTGCGAAATAATATTGTAAATCAAGAGTTACGGACAAGTTTGAATAAAAAATAAATGAGGGATCGGTTCGAAAGTCTTTCACCAACGATCTTTGTGAGAAGTTCCAAAATGTTTCTCGGAAAAGTCCGTAGGGGCTCAGAAGACTTTCATAAACCATTTATCTAGTCAGCGTTAAGTATAAGCTCCTCATTAAACATCCAGAAAGTGAAGAGCCACTTGTCACATTTTTAACTTGTTATTTACCTATACTGGTACTCTATTTATTATGATTACAGAAGCTCAAGATTTTGTGTAACTTTATTAACACCCTTGATTTACTGTATATAAACTTTTCACCTTTTCTCCAGTTTTCAAGATGTGTAGATTTGGTCTAGGTTTATTAGAAGCGGCTAGAAATTTCGATCGAGTGTTCACTTAACAGACATATCAGTGTTTAATCTTCAGCACATCATCACCAGCCTTAACCAAAGTCAGTAACAACGTAGAACTTCGTACGTACGTACATCAGTTCGAGTTGCCATACCACATTAGCACAGAGATGCAGTTGTCGATTCAAATCCCATAGTTGTAGAGGGGGTAAGCAGAAATCGGCAAGACTAGGGTTTGAAGATGTTATTCAAGGATTATAATACAGTGAAATAAATTTGGAAAGAGGAAAAAAGAAAAATGAAGAATTCGGAAGATTAGAATTTGGGAGAACACAAAGAGTGGATGCACTTGCGCCATTGCAAACGATTTTGAGCCATGTCATTCAGGGTCTTTACCCATCGGTTGCTATCATCTCGCGGTCCCCAACCAGGTAGTCTACAAATCAGAAGGCAACGAGTAGCGGCGACTGCAGTCTAGTAG